GAGCTTCTTCCCAGATTGCCGCTCCGCATGTGCTAGCCAGAGGCGAAACACCTCGTAGGCTCTGTCGCGCGACTCCACGTTCACGACCCACACGTAGCGTGTTCCAGCGTCGATGAAGGTGAGTGTGTATAGCTCGTCCTCGACTCCGCAATGCCCCACGTTCAGGAAATCGCTGTACACCTTGTGCAGCTTGGGGTAGCGGTTCGTTCCAGGTTCGAGCAGCGGGAACGGTTGGTGGCTCAGCGCAGCTTCGGGGCAGACGGTGCAGTTGCGCGGATGTGTCGCGCCACTCACTTCGGAGCCATCAGGGCGCAGGAGTGCGCCAGGAGCGAAGACGCCTGCGTCGATGCAATTTTTAAGCGTCGCGCGAGAAGGGTGTCCAAGGCGCTGGTGCCAGAATGCATCAACAGCGCGAAAGCCGGAGGTGCGCATGTAGCGCGCGCGCGCTTCCTCAGGGTCTTCGTCAGGTACGGGAGCAGGTTCCGCTGCGACTTCCTCTGTTTCTTCTTCTTCTGCCGCAGTAGTCAGCATCAACGCCAAAAATTCTCTGTCGCGAATTTCGGAGAGCGGGATGTTGGTCCCAAGAATGGTTCCGGGGGCGAAGGTGGGCTCGCGTGGCTCGGTGGCAGGTCCGTAGACAGTGCGGCGCGGGGTTGACGGCTCGTTGCCCCAGATGATGGTGTCCCATGGGTCGAGGTGCGGGGGAATGTCTGCAGGAGGTGGTGCGAGTGAGATGCGGCGCGGGGGACGGCCAAGAGGAACGACTGCAGGTGCTGCTTCGGTTTCCTCGGCTTCCTCCTCTTCCCCCCTTCGTTCTTCGCGGGAAGTGCCCCAGCCGCTATTGTCGGCGCCAGATGCGGCGCCCCATCCGCCGCTCGCGTTGGCCCAGGTTCCGCCGTTGTCTCCCCATCCGCTGGTATCGCTCGTTCCCCATCCGCTAGCGCTCCCCCACCCCCCTTCATTGGAGGCACTCTCTTCTGCCTCAGCTCCCCATGCGCCGCAAGCAAAGGTCCCACGCACTTCGGCGAGGCTTTGCTGGTGAAGTTCCTCAGCTTCGCGTTGCGCCAATGCATCTTCTTGCTCCACGGTGAGTTTCGCCGAGGGGTCGAGCCGATGAGAGTAGACCTTTCGGAATTCTTTGAGAGTGTAGGGGCGCGGAACTCCGCGTGAGTCCAAGCTTCCGCGGCGTTGTCCTCGCAGGATGTTGTCGAGGCGCTGGGAGGGAGGTCCAGCGTGGGGGCTTTGGTCGGTGCCGAATACGCGACGAGTAGCAGTTTCGAGTTCGAGCTGCGACATCCCTTCCTCTGGTGGCGCGTGTCGTTCTGCTTCAGTGATGGCGGCGAGTCCGCGGCCGGCAATCGCGCTCGTTGATGTCGTTGGCGTGTGGCAATCCCTGCAGATGCCATCTGGATCGGGGTTATGCAACGCCGTTTCGCGTGGGTGGGGATGATGTGGCACCCACGGCCTGCCGTCAGGGTGCTTCCAGTCCCTGCGGTGGATGTGCTCGAAGCGCAGTGGCACGAGGTCAATCAGCTCGTGCGAATCGCCGCTGCAGTCGGGAATGTCGAAATCCAGGACGTACACTCCATTTTCGGAGTGTGCTCGTCCGATCTGCCTGCGGGGGAAGTTGCGCGCCTCGTAGTGTAGCAGGATGTCTCGCGTCGCGCGGTCCGTGCTGAGGTCGACGCCGCAATCCATGAGCTGTGCGGCGGACAGAAGGTTGAAGCGCAGGTTCTGGACGATCAGCACATCATTAAGCGTGATGTGCGTGCGGCTTCCGCGTGCTTTAAGCACAAGGATGCCTTGCGCGCTTGCGCGCAGGCGTGTGTTGTTCGCCACGGTGACGTAGGTGACGGTGGGGGTGGGGACGACGTTGGATATGTAGCGCTCGGACCCCACCATATGCTGGCCGCAGCAGCTGTCCAGGTACCAGGTGTTGTAGCGCTTGTTGTCGTCACGTGCGAGCAGCGCCAGTCGCGGCGTGACGATGTGCGGAGTGTCGAACTTCAGAAATTGCTCGCGCGTGAGCCAATCAAGTGGCGCCACCCGCATATCAGGTACGTGCGGGGGACTTTCAAGCAGCGGGACTGGGAGATTCCAGTCCTGGTCGTCGTCGTCGGTGAAATCGTGGCGCGGACTGAACGGATTATTGCTGGTGAACGCGCCAATGGGGTGCGGTGCCGGCTCAGGTGAAGGTGAGCATACGCGGCGACGACGCGATTCGCCTGTCATGGCCATGTTGCTCATCACATTACGAACTGGGGCAGTCGATGAATGCTGCTGCTGCTGCTGATGCTAAACCGCTGGGTTCAGGTTGCGCGCGGGAGGGGGCTGATACCCCTGGGCTGGACGCACGTCGCCTCGTGCGTCTTGACGGCCGGACCAGGTGCTCGGATTGGTCTGGCGAGGGCGAGATCGGTTCTTGCATCGATCCGCCAGATGCCCGAAATTTCTGCAGATTTTGCAGTAGAGGCGCCGTGGCTTTCGCTCTTCGGTGTTGTCGGCGTAGAAGGCGAGCCGTTCACGTTCTCGTCGCGGCGCTGGTCGCTGCTGATCCATATCCCTCTGTTCGACGAGAAGGGCGGCGCAAAGGGCGGCCTCCGAGATGACCCCCTGCTGTCGGAGAAGCGCCTTGCAGGGCCGCCACTCTGGGCCGAGCCCTTGAAGCACGATGTTGACGAAGATTTCTTCTGAAATCGTGCTTCCCAGCTTCACGATTTGATCGCGAAGGCTCCGACAGCGATTAAGGTAGTTGTTGACCTTCTCCCCTGCGGTCATCTTGGTTTCCAGGAGTTCCTGGAGTAGTCGGCTCGAAGAGACGGAGTCCTTGGGCTGGTAGACTCCCGTCAGGTGTCGCCAGACGTTGAGGGCTGGAGCAGCCGAGGTCTTGTAAGAACGAATGTTGAGCTGCTCCGCCGGCGACATATTCCGCAGGAGCACTTCGTACGCCATCAGCGATTCGTTGTAATACCTCGCCTTGGCGTCGTCGGTGTCCTCAGCAGGCTCCGCGTAGCTCCCGTCGAAGTAATGGAAGATTTGGGCGTTCTGAAGTAGGAGCTCCAACTCGAAGCTCCAGGTGTAAAAGTCTCTGCCGTCAAAACAGGTACTTGTCTTTATTTTTGATATGCTGAGAAACCTTGATTGAGCGGAGAGAATTGCCTCTTCACTGGGACGGGGAGTCTTGGGGGTTGAGCCATTGGTGTCGAGGGAGAATGTTTGCGGGGTGGCATTTTGGACAGTCGGGGCCGATTGAGAGGGTTGCGAGGATGTACCCGCATCGCCATTCCGCAATGTTTGGAGCCCTTGCTCCAGGCTGGTGAGTCGCTGAAGCAGTTGTGCGAGAACTTCGGAGTCGATTGTCGTCGTGTTCTCGCTTGTCGCAGCCGGGTTGGGTTGCGCTTCAGCCGTCAGATTAGTCTGACCACCAGATCCTCCGGCCATCTTCACTCGTGAGCGTGTGCCGGACGCCACTTTCCAAATGTCGTAATTTTCGGGAGTGGCAGTGCGAAGGATTCCCGAGCCGCTCTCATACCATGCTGCGATCAGGATTTGATCGTAGCCCAGGATCTACTCAGGAAGGTTCGCACGCAGTAAGGTAGTGTTGGTGGGCCCTTGACCTCAATAGCAGAGTGAATGTAAAATGCTTTGAGATAATTGAAACATGCAAATACTAGGAATATAAATATGAGTACAGGGGAATACGAAACGACCTAACTAGCCATGTACTCTAAGGGGTACATTCCCTTATTCAAATTCATTCCCAACCGTGCGGCGCGTACAGTTTCATATCTGTTCCCGCCAAAACAACCCTGCCTGCTCCTGCCCGATGCCGTCTGCTCCGACGGTCCAGATGTGCTGTAACCGTCTGACTCCTCGGTGCAATTCCAACTGTCTGACGCTTCGCGTTCATTCCCGACATTGCGTACTTCGTCTTGCTACGGTGAGGAGTGCACAGTAATATCAAATATTACTATTCGTAACAAAACCGAGCGTGCTGCCTGAGCGACAACAACCACCAAGACACCTTTCAGCACGTGTCCCAAATTATCGCCCAAATAAGGCAGAGTGAGGTATATTACATCCTAGAGTGGTCACTACACCACATAATCTGGCTGGTTAGGGTATTCTTGAATTATGTACTCAATTCCTTGAAACCACTTTCTACCACACAACCCTGACCCTCTGATCTTTGTCCTTGATACTGCCAGAAAGTGAATCGGGAAGAATCTTTGGTCCTTTTCGCCACGGGGGAAGGAATGTCCACCTCATGTTCTTGGAACAGTATCACATCCGACGCCACTTTTTGCACTTTATGTGCAGTTTCTCAACTTCGCCTTGGACTGTACCATACCTCACCTACATCGCCTAATTTCCCTAGAACGCATCTACTTTTAAAGATCGACCTTGCGTAGGATCATATTTCCAAAAGTAGTATCGCAAATATCCATGTGACCCTAGATCGTCAATGTACACTCACTTCCGTCACACGATCTTGTCCCCTCCCACCAATAATGATCGCTGTGCCCAAGGGAAATTGCCCAGGGGCCGCCTCCTAGAAACCCGAACCCCTACAATGGTCTCGGTCCCAGCCGAGGTTCGATGTGATGCTGCAACCGACCGATCAGGCATAGATCATGAGGTAGATGTTCTGGTTCGTTTTCCTCCTGACCTTCTACCGAACGCGGGAAGGACGCGCCCTTTTTTTGCCACGCCATCAATTAGGTTTTCCATCCCACAAGGAACATCCCGAGGTGAGGCATCCTCAGTCAGTCAAGTAGTCATATCTTGCGTCCAACGACCAGAACGAAGCTTAGGGCTCCTAAACTAGGCCGTCTCCGCAGCATCGCGAGTTTCGGTTAGCTCAGTCATTTGCGTTTCACCGCCATGTCGGTCAATGGTAGCAGTTTCAACGTTTTTGATATTCCTTCGTAATTCGTGAATTCTTATTATAGTTATAGGTATTATTTTATTATTCTGTCGATACTTTCAAGAAGACTAGAATGGGGACAGCAGCTCCAGACCTATTAGTACAGCACGCGTTAGGAGCACTAAGCAGCCTACAGGGATTCCCAGGAGGGTCATTACCCCCTCCTCGGCTGCTGTCGCCTCAATTCTCCGGTTCTCTTAACCGAAACTTCGTGCTGGAGAATGAGGAAATAGGTCGGGGTCGTTTCGGCGTGGTGCGGAGGTGTAGACACAGAGCGTCCAATCGACCGTTCGTGTGCAAGTCTATAAGCAAGAGTTCGTTACAGGTGCGTTCCGCGTCGTCGTCCTCCGCTGAGTCTCCTTTGGTGTTAGTACTTTTCAGATTTCTCAAAAGCAACAACAAGATTGCGTCACGTGCGTTCCGCATCGTCGTCCTCTGCTGAGTCTCCTTCGGCTGTTCTTTACGTGTCAAAGGTGTCCATCTTGACTTAGTGGCCGCCCGATATCATCGCGTAAGCTCCAACGGTTATATATTTCCTCGTTCCTTTCAAGCTCGGGTGTAGACTTGCGTTAGCTCCAACAGAGACCTCGCTTCGCCAATTCATCTTCGTGGGCCGTTCTTCCTCTGTTATCACCTTCAGCCTCTACCTTACATTCTCGCACGCCGCTGCGTCGCTGCGTCGTCGCGGCGCTACTGCACGTCTCTATACGCATTATCGGCACCGTGTACCCCCACCCTCTTTACCCGTCCTTCCCATGTCCTTCCCCGTCCTCCACCCTTCCTCACCACCAGTCCGCACAGCACATAGAATCCCTGCGATCCGAAGTGGACGTGCTGCTGGCAGTGCGCGGGCTGCCGTGCGTGGTGCGAGTGGAGGAGGTGATAGAGGAGCCCCACGTGGTCCACGTGGTGATAGAGACGCCTCCATTCCCGTCCGTCCCATATCCCCGTCCTTCCCATATCCTCGTTCCCCTCTCTCCTCGTCTAACAGTCCGCGCAGCACATTGACTCGTTACGGTCGGAGGTAGACGTCTTGCTGGCAGTGCGCGGGCTGCCGTGCGTGGTGCGAGTGGAGGAGGTGATAGAGGAGCCCCACGTGGTGCACGTGGTCATGGAGGCGTGCGGGCAGGGCGATCTGTTCGACTACATCGCGCATTTCAACGGCATGCCCGAGCCCCACGCCACCTGCCTCTTCAGGTGCGGTTTGAAGCGGTTGAAATTGGTTTAGGCACGGTCCAGAGGGGTTGAAACCGCTTCACTTACGGTCCAGAGCGGTTGAAACTGGTTCAGGTACGCGCCGCGGTGGCAGCCTTAGGAGTGGCGGGGTGTCACAGCCTTGGGATCATACACCGAGACATCAAAACATCCTGCCTCCTCTCCCCTGCTTCTTCCGTTCTGTTCTTTGTTTGCTTGCGTGGTTTTTTGCTCCCGTGCAGGCAAATAGTGGTGGCAGTGGCGGGGTGTCACAGCCTAGGCATCATACACCGAGACATCAAGCCGGAAAACATCTTCCTCGCCGTTAATCCTGCCGCACCTGCTCCTCATGCTGCTGCTCCTGCTGCTGCTGAGAAAACCTCTCCCAATGCTTGCACCAACGCCAGCACTGCTTCTGCGGCTGCTGCTGTTCCTGCTTCTCCTGCTCCAGCCGCCATGCCCGTTCCTCCCACCAGTCTCCTCATGAGACTCGGCGATTTCGGCCTTGCTCTGTTCCTGCACACCCAGCCTGGCGCCGAGGCTCGGGGGAGGGTCGGCAGCTCGTACTACATGGCTCCAGAGGTGGTTCGGGGCGGCAGGTACGGGCTGCCAGCAGACGTGTGGAGCCTTGGGGTCATCCTCTACATCATGCTCTCAGGTGCGGTTTGGTGCGGTTTTGTGCTGTTTGGTGCGGTTTTGTGCTGTTTGGTTTGGTTTGGCTAAGGATTTGCCCTGGTGGATGTTGAGGGTCTTTGGAGTTGCGAGTCCAGCATGGCTTGACGTGTGGTCAGACTCAGAGTTGACTTAAACACATCGTGTGGTCAGATTTTGAGTCGACTCAAACACAGCGTGTGGACAGATTTTGAGTCCACGCAAAACATGGCGTGTGGTTGGGCCGTCTCAACCTCTCCTGTCTCACTATCTCCCTCTTCTTCCCATCCCATTTTCCCAGGCTTCGTGCCTTTTTGGGGAGCCACCTCCCTTCAAACTTTTGAGGCCATCTGCTCGGGCCGTCTAGACCTCTCCTCGCCCACCTGCCTCGCCCTCTCCCCCTCCGCCAAGGCGCTCCTCCGCGCCATGCTCTCGCTGGACCCTTCTGCCCGCCCCACAGCCCACCAAATCCTCTCCCACCCCTGGCTATCGCTACACAAGACGGCTTTCGACGCACCTCAAAAGTCGATCCTCGCCCATCCGTGGGTGTCGGAGCATGAGGAGTTTGAGACGCCGCGAAACCCCGTGAGGCCAGGGGTAGACCTGGGGGAGGGTTTGGTTGAGACAGGTCCGAGGAAGGGCGTGAATGGCACGGGCCTGGGGAAGGGTTTGGTGGATCGTGGCGGTGTGCTGGCGTTAGATGGTGTGGGGACTGATTGTATGGGGGATGAAGGTGTGGAGGGTGATGCTGCTGCTGGAGTGTGGGGGTGTGAGGGTATGGGACTGCTCGAACGGTCTATTTTAGGGTTGGAGGATCCGCGGCTGGATTTGTTGATTGGGGAGGAGTGTGTTGCTCAGCAGAAGATATTGTGGGAGCAGCAGCAGCGGCGGCTACAGGAGGAGCAACGGGGAAAGAAGCTGCTATTGGAAAACACAGAGCAGCAGCAGCAGCAACGACAACAGCAGCAGCAGAAACATGAGCACTTTTTTTTGCAGCAGCACCACCAGCAGCAGAAGCACGATATCCTTTCAATGCAGCACCAGGAGCAAGAGCAGGAGCAATACCATAATCACCTACAGCACCAGCACCATCAGCACCAGCAGCAGCAACAGCAGCAGCTGCACCGCCACCACCAGCTCTTCCCAGTTCAGCAGCAAGAGCAGGAGCAGCAGCAGCATCTGCTGCAGCGGCAGGCAATTTTACACCAGCAGCAGCTGCAGCTGCAAGCATACGCTGCTGTGGAGGCAGAAGCGCAACGCTTGCTTCTGCAGCGGCAGCAGTTTTTGCGGCAGCAGTTCCTGCTATTGCACGAGGAGCAGCAGCTGCTGCAGCAGCAGCAGCAGCAGCAGCAGGAGCAGGAGGAGCAGCAGGAGGCGCAGGGGGGGTGGAGTAATCAACGGCTGGGATCTTTCAGCTCTGCTGACGTGGAGGGTGGGGGAGGAACGGATCAGGATAGTGGGCCTTCGTCGTCGGGAGAAACGGAGGAGACGAGGGAGAAGGGAGGGGTGAGTGGTTTGAGGGGAGAGATCCGAGAGGGAGGGATGAGTGATGATAGCGCTTTTGAATTGCCTAGAAAAGGATTTATGAATGGCAGAGGAGAGAATGGCAAGGCAATTCTAGCAGGTGGTTTTATGAGAGAAGAGAGAGCAGTGAGAGCAGCGAGAGACGATATTCTGGCAGGGAAGCAGGCAGAGAAGGAGCCAGTGTTGCTGCCGCTGTTTTCAGAGGAGATGGCAAGGGGTGGGCGGCTGAGAAGCAGCAGGTCAAGTGGCAGCAGAGAGAGAGGCACTGGGCGTGGAATGAAGGTTCTGTGGGAACGGGAGGAGCGGGCACCATTAGATGCAGACATCCCAACAGTTATACCTCCACCAGATTTACCTTTTTCATTTATACCTTCATCAGTTATACCTCCACCAGATGTACCTTCATCAGTTGTACCTCCACCAAATATACCTCCACCAGATATACGTTCACCTACCTGGCAGATGGGCTACCAACCATTCCCGGCTCTTCCGTCGACCACGTGTCCCACCAACCCTCCATCCAATATGCCATCATCAGATGTACCTCCACCAGATGTACCTCCATCAGATATACCTCCACCACATACATCTCCACCACATATACCTCCACCACAAATACCTCCACCAGAAATACCTCCACCGACCTGGCAGCGGTGGAGGTATCAGCCGTTTCGGGCTCGTCGATTCCCCGACTATCCTCCCAACCGTCCAGTACCCCTCTCAAACCCCTTCGCATGCTCGTCCTCAGCTCCCCGCTCTGAAGTGGTCGATCTGAGCCTCTCCCTGTCCCTTGGGGGTGGCTCTAGCAGTGCTGCTGCTGCTACTGATACTGCTACTGCTGCTGCTGCCGCCGCTGCTGCTGCTGCTGCTGCTGCTGCTACTGCTGGTCCTTGGGTCTCCGTCTCTCCCAGAGAAATGCCACTTGGGGGTTGCTCCAGCATTGATTTCGCTGCTGCTGCTGCTACTGCTGCTACTGCTGCTGCTCCTGATAGTGCTGCTGCTCCTGCTGCTACTGCTTCTGCTGTTACTGCAACAGCAGCAGGTGCTGCGGTGAGCAGGGGCGTGTGGTCGTGGGGCAGGGGTGGGGCGGGTCTGGTGCAAGCCTGGCCGGATCTACCCCCAGATGACGGACGAGCATCAGTGTGCGCAGAGAGGCGTAGTAGTGATGATGGGGAGTGTTGTGGGGAAGGGCGAGAGAGGAAGAGGGCTAGGAGGGTTGCGTGGGATGCATGTGGGTTTACTGGAGAGTTAGAGTCAGTTCCGCCCCCTGTGTGTGCGGTTGAGATATGGACGGCGCAAGAGGAGGAAAGGGAGGGGAAGAGGCTAAGGAAGGAGGAAGTGGAGGCTAGGGAGAAGGGGGAGAGCGGGGATGGAAAGAAGCGAAACGGTGGTGGCTGGGATAAGGGGCAACGGGAGGAAGAGAACGAGATGGGTTGTCGACAAGGGGAGGAAGCATTTGAAGAGCTGCTGCAGCAGCAACAGAAGCAGCAGCAGCAGCAGCAGCAGCAGCAACAGCAGAAACAACCTCAGCAGCAGCAGCAACAGCAGATTGAGATGGAGCAATGCAAAGGAGAGGAGGCAGAGGAGGCACGAAAGGGAGAGAGGGGAGAAGCAGGGGCTTTTCACAAGCTGCAGCAGCAGCTGTTGGAGTTACACCGGCTGGAACAAGAAGAGCAGGAGGGGCAGCAGCAGCAGCAGCAGCAGCAAGAGAGTCAGCAGGAGCAAATAAATTCTCAGAAACTGGAGGAACAAGAGCGAGAGAAGCTGCAGCAGCAGCTGCTGGAATTACACAGGCTGGAACAAGAAGAGCAGGAGGGGGAACAGTGGGGCGCAGATGGGAGGAAGACTGGTGTGAGTTTGGGGCCTAAGGGCGCTGCTGATGCGAGTGGAAAGCCAGTGCTAAAAGTCCAGGCAGAGGCTAGTGGCACAGACCAGGTAGTGCTAAGTGCGAGTGGAAAGCCAGTGCTAAGTTCCAGAGGGGAGGCGGACCCAAAGTTGAAAGGAAAGGGCGTGCTAAGTGCAAGCGGCGATGCAGACAGATTGAAGGGAAGTTTTGGAAGTCGAATCAGAGGCCTTTTAGATGGAAGGGCAACAGGCGGCTCTGTGAACGAGGCGAGCATGGGAGGTGCGAAGAGGAGGCGGGTAGATGGGAGAGGAGCAACGTCTGCTGCTGTTGTCCTTGGATTCCACTCCCCCTCTCAATCTCCAGCCCGGCTTCTCCCCCCGCGGCCCGCTGCAGCTGCCGCCCTTCCCACTAATTTTGAGTCCCCTCAGAAGAAAGTTCAATCCCCAGCTCGTCTTTTCCCCCTTCAGCCTGCTGGAGCTGCCCTTCCGTCGTCTCGGCCCCAGAAGAATCTATCCCCAGCATGTCCTTTCCCGCCTCGGTCCATCGCAACTTCTCTTCCCACAATCGCCAGCATCTGGGCAGCAGCAGCCGCGTCGGCAGTGACAGCAGCGTCAGGAGCAGCAACAGTAGCAGCAGTAGTGCCGGCAGAAGCAGCACCATTAGGAGGAGCAGCAGCAGTGGCAGCAGTGTCGACACAAAGAACCGTTGTCAACCGTTCCAACGGGAGAATGAGGGCAGGAGAAGCAACAGGAGCAGCAGCGGCGACGGTGGCGGCAGAAGCAGTGGTAGCGGCAGGAGCAGCACAGGACGAGATGTTTTTTGAGTCGTCTCAAAGTGCAATTGCTTTCACCTCAAAAGCAGGGTCACTGGCAGATATAAATGCAGGGACAAAGGCAGGGACAAAGGCAGGGACAATGGTAGGGGCACAGGCAGGGTCAAAAAGAGCAGCACAGGCAGGGACAAAGGCAGGCTCAGAGGCAGAGGCAGATGCTGAAGCACGGTTACTGTCGTTATTCTCACCCCTTGGTACTATCACAGGGCAGCAGCAGCGGGCGGGGGCGAGTAAGAGTGCAAGTTCAGTGAGTTGTGTGACCCTGTCGTCTGCTGCTACCGGCGAGCAGGCTTTTCTTGGCAGGAAGAGAAAGCAATAGCAGGAATACAGTAGGAGCAACATTACTGACTCACTGATCATGATACAGAAGAAACAAAAGCAGTTCGTGGCGCTCCTGGCAAGACATCTGGCCGTGCCGTGTCGCACATACAACCTCGTTTGTAACGCTAGGTTTAATAAACATTTATGCACGACTTGGTTTCTAATGATTGTGACACCTAAATCGAACACATGTCCTCGCAGGGATGTACCATTATTGTACTTTAATTTTCCTTCTTTTCCACACAGCATGAGCTAAACTTCTTCACTAGGTGTATACCTAATACCCAAGCTTCTTGTTCAGTGAGGTTTGGCCGTCACCACTTTGACCTGCAAAGCAGAGAGAGCAGGATGGGGGGGGAAGAAACAGCAGTGCTCTTTGTGTGCACAAGGCAGGTTGGTTGCAGAATATGCAACATGAGAGTCACTTTAGCGACAGCAGCGGAAGCTTGAGGGGATTGTTGGGGGGGGGGGGGGGTTGAGGAGATGAGATTTAAAGGAGACCGTGAGGGTCCTGGCCTGCGCCTAGGCCTTAGGCAAAGTGCCTTTCTCAGTCTGCACACAGTGCGTGCACACACTGCAAGCGCACGCACACAAACACACCCAACAACTCGAAGCACAAACACACACCTTCAGGTGGCATCCAAGTCACGTGCCTTGCTCTATGTGCACCCACTGCGAGCGCACGCACGCACGCACGCACGCACGCACGCACGCACGCACGCACGCACACACACACACACACGCGCACACACACACACACGCACACACACACACGCACACACACACACGCACACACACACACACACGCACACACACACACACACGCACACACACACACACACGCACACACACACACGCACACACACACACACGCACGCACGCACGCACGCACGCACGCACGCACACACACACACACACACACACACACACACACACGCGCGCACCTTCAGGGGGCATCCACGCCTCAGTGCCTTGCTCCATCTCCGCTGCTGCCTCCTCCAGAAACTTTGGCTTTGCTGGCCCCAACACCCTCCGCCGCTTCACCTCCCCTCCACCACCACCACTGCCAGCACCAGCAACATCAGCGACAGATGCAACAGCAGCACCGCCACCCTTATTGACACCAGGGTGGTCGTCATTTCCCCCATCAGCACTGCCCGGCTTGTTGCTTCGACTCTCAACCCCATCATCTCCACCGCCTCCTCTCTTCCTCCCTCCCCCACTCCCCCCTGCCGTTTCCTGCTTCTGCACTTCCCCCATCCCCCCTCCTCTCTCTTTCTTTCCCATCTTCTTCCCGTCCACCTCCACTGCTACCCCTCCCTCGTTCCTTTCTCTCCCACCTCTCACCACATCTGCTGTTACTTGTGTTTCCACTAGGGCACTGCTGGCTTGGAATGCTGCTGCTCTGGCGAGCTCACTGCCCCTCCCTCCCGTTGCCTCCTGCCGCTTCACCTCCTCTCCACCACCCTTCTCTGGTACGTGGGCTTCCGCAAGAGCAGCAGCAGTAGGAGCTGCGGCAGCAGCAGGAGGTGAAAGGGCGGCAGCACCAGCCGCAGCACGAGGAGGAGGAGGAGGGGCAGCACAAGAAGCATCAACAGCAGCATCAGCAGCAGAGGTAGCAGCAGTAGCAGCAGTCGCAGCAGCAGCAGCAGCAGCAGCAGTGTGGCTGCACCTTTCTGTCTTTTCTTGCCCTTCTCGCCGCGTGGGGCCCACTTGGCCTCAGCCTCTCCTGATGGATCTGCCAGCTGTAGCAGCGCTGCCACCCGCTCCAGCTCGCCTGACAACCGGGCGGCCTCTCTTGTCAGCGTCCCTAATTTGTCCATTTCTGAGAAAGAGAAAGGGAGGGCCGAGGGACGGTGGGTGGGGGGAGCAGAAGTGGGGAGGAGAGCAAAGGGAGAAACAGGGGCGTGGGAAGGAAGGGAGAAGAGGCATCGACAGGATACATACACCAGATCGAATTCTCATGGCAGCGCAATAGCCAGCCCAGCCAGCAACACAATACAGCCATGATAACATCAGTAGCAAATCAGCCTGTAGCAAATCAGCCAGTAGCAAATCAGCCTGTAACAAATCAGCCTGTAGCAAATCAGCCATGAGAGCAGCGCACCTATCTTGGTGGTCACAGCCGACATGAATGCATCCAGAGGATCCACCCCCACTGCATCATCACCACCACCCTTTCCACGGCCCTTCCAAGTCGACTCAACTTAACAGTCACCTCAATGCAGCCATGACAGACAGCAGTGTCAGAATGTTATATTATCTAGCCTGCAGTGGGGTGCTCTATAGCGAGTACAACCCTTCTAGGGTTTGCTATTTGTATCCTGCTGCTTGCTAGTTCAACCATCCTCATTTCTGTTCGTGCACACATTCCTAGCTAGTACTTGGTTCCTCGTTTCTAGTCTTCCTGTGGCCTAGGCTACTAAGCCTAGGCCCGACTACTTAGTATCTTGACATGGTATCAGAGGGCGGCGTGTCACTGCCGCCTTCCTGTATGGGCCCACCACCCGCTTCCGCTGCCGTACTGTCCGCCGCGCGCCCCGTGGTGCGCGGCGGCGAAACCCTAATTTCTGCCCGCCGCGCGCTCGGGGCGCCTGGCGGTTTTCCCTTCCGTGGCGCCCGTCGTGGTGCCCTTGGGGGGGCCTCCGCGGTCCCCTCCCGTCGACGCGCCCGTCGAGGCGCTCTCGGGGAACCACGCGGCCTCCCCTCCCGTCGCCCGTCGAGGCGACCTCGGGGACCCGCGCGGCCTCCCCTCCCGTCGCCCGTCGAGGCGACCTTGGGGGCCCGCGCGGCCTCCCCACCAGTCGCCCGTCGTGGCGACCACGGGGGCCGCGCGCGGTCCCCTCCCGTCGCCCGTCGAGGCGACTTCGGGGGCCGTGCGCGGCCCTCCCCGTCGCCCGTCGAGGCGACTTCGGGGGGCCCGCGTGGCGCCCTCCCCGTCGCCCGTCGAGGCGGCTCTGGGGGCCCGTCGCGGCGCCCTCCCTGGTGCCCGTCGCGGCGCCCCGGGGGGGGGCCGCGCGGCTCCCTTCTCGTCGCCCCTCGGGGCGCCCTGGGGGCCGTGCGTTTCTCCCCCCCCTTCCTCCTGCCTTTCAACTGCGCCAGCCGCCCCTGGAGCCGCCCACCACTGCAGCAGCCGCCCCTGGACCCCTGCAGCAGCCCGTGGCGCCGCCCCGGGGCCCGCGCGGGCCGCTCGTGCAGCAGCCCGCACCTGGAGCAGCCCGCCCCTGCAGCAGCCGCCCCTGGAGCAGCCCGCCCCTGCAGCAGCCGCCCCTGGAGCAGCCCGCCCCTGCAGCAGCCGCCCCTAGAGCAGCCCGCACCTGCAGCAGCCGCCCCTGGAGCAGCCCGCACCTGCAGCAGCCGCCCCTGGAGCAGCCCGCACCTGCAGCAGCCGCCCCTGGAGCAGCCCGTGCCTGCAGCAGCCGCCCCAGGACCCGCGCGAGCCGCCCCTGCAGAAGCCTGTCCCGTCCCCCCCCCCCCCCCCCCCCCGTGCTGCCCATTGCTCCCATTCCGCCGTGCGTTCCGCGGTGGTGGGGGTGTGGGGTGGCGAGCATGGGGGAGAGAGGTGTGGGTTCTCCCCTCCTTTTTCATCTCCCACTGCTGCAGCTGCCGCTGAGGGGGGTGGAGGTGTGGGAGTCGTGGAGAGTGGCACTAGGGGGGTGATGTGGGAGTGGAGCTAGAGGTGAAACTGGGGGGTGTGTGAGAGGGGTGTGGGACTGTTGGGGGAGGTTGAGGGGAGGCTGCTGTCTTGTCGTCCGCAGCACCTGTAGTCCGGGGCGCACTGTCCTGGTAGCTCAGAGAGCCTGCTGCACCTGTTGCCCGTGGGTCCGTTGCTCCTGCCGCTCGTCGCAGCCGCAGAGCCTGTTACTCCTGTATTCCGGGGCGCACTGTCTCGGTAGCCACTGAGAGCCTGCTGCACCAGTAGCCCGTGGGTCCGTTGCTTCTGCCGCTCGTCGTAGCCGCAGAGCCAGTTACTCCAGTATTCCGGGGCGCTCTGTCTCGGTAGCCACTGTGTCAGCCGCCACTGTGTCAGCCGCTTCTGTTGCCCGTGTGTCTGCAGCTTCAGTCGTCGCCTCCCATCTTCTCTCCTCTCACAGTCCCGCCTCCTCCTCACTTGCCCGCTGTGACTACCACTAGCTTTGCTCATATTTATGAACTATTGCTATGACTGCTCATTGTGCTGATTACACCCCACTTTGGCTATGGGGGTGTGTCAGAATATGTTGTTTGTGTAGCCTGCAGTGGGGTACTCAATAGTGAGTACAGCCCCTTAGGGTTTGCTATTTGTATCCTGCTGCTTGCTAGTTCAACCATCCTCATTTCTGTTCGTGCACACATTCCTAGCTAGTACTTGGTTCCTCGTTTCTAGTCTTCCTGTGGCCTAGGCTACTAAGCCTAGGCCCGACTACTTAGTATCTTGACAAGCAGCGCACCTATCTTTGAGGTCACAGCCGACATGAAGGCATCCAGAGGATCCACTGCCATTGCACCGTCATCCTCCCCACCACCCCCCCTCTTGCCTCCCCCATCCCCTCCTCCCTCCCCTCCCGCCCTCCCACTCGCCTCCTCTCTCCTCCTCCTCTCCTCCGCCACCTGCCCCTCCACCTCTCTCAGTCTCTCCAGCAGCCCATGCCTCTCCTCCAGGAGATCAACCGCTGTCACCACTCCACCTCCTGCCCCTTTCCGCCCTCCTGCCCCCGCTGCTCCTCCCGCTCCCCCTGCCGCGCCTGCCCCGTCTCCCGCGCTCTTCACGCCTCCCGGGGCGATTCTGGCTGGCCGGCGCTGGCGGTTCGACTGCACGCGGTCGAAGAACTCATCGTCACTGGGGAAAGGGGTGGTGGCAGGAAGGGGGAGAGGGGGGAGGGGGGAACAGACACGAGTGGCATCAAAGGGAACTCAGTGATTCTGGCTTGCCTGCTCTGGCGGTTTGACTGCACGCATTCGAAGAACTCATCGTCACTGGGGATGGCAGGAAGAGGGGGGGATTGGAGGGAAACGGACAGACAAAGAGTCACCATTGATTCTTGCCTACCTGCGGTGCCGGTTTGACTGCACGCGGTCGAAGAACTCATCGTCAATGGGTGGAGGGATGGCAGGACGAGGCGAGAAGGGGGAGGGGGAAACAGACGCGGGCGTGGCATCGAAGGGAACTCATTGATTCTGGCTTGCCTGCGCTGGCGGTTTGACTGCACATGGTCGAAGAACTCATCATCACTTGATGGGGGGATGGCAGGGAAGGGGGGCACTGGAGGGAAACGGATAGGCAAGAACCCTTCATTGATTCTGGCTTGTCTGCGCTGGCGGTCGAAGAACTCATAGTCACTTGGGGGGGGGGGGGAGGCAGGACGAGGCGAGGAGGAAGGAGGGGGAAACAGACATGCGTGGCTTGGAAGGGAAGTCATTGACTCTGGCTTGTCGGCAGTGGCGGTTTGACTGCACTCGGTCGAAGAACTCATCGTCACTGGGTGGGGGGATGGCAGGAAGAGGCGAGTGAAACAGACACGCGTGACACACAAGGGAACTCAATGACTCTGGCTTGGCTGCGCTGTTGGTTCGACTGGGCGTTGTCAGGGAAACTCGTTGCCACTGGGGATGGCAGGAAGAGGGGGGGAGGGAGGGGGGCCAGAAGGGGAGAAACACAGGGATGGAAGGACGGGGGTGGGCCAACGAATGAGGAACAGGCTATTCTAACACACCTGCCGTCGCTCCCTTTACCTGTCATTCCCCCCCTCACCTGACACCTCCCTGCTTATCCATCATCTCTCACCCACCCCTCACCTATCATCTTCATCTTCCTCCTCCTCCGCTCGCCCTCCTCTCCCTTTCCTCCTGCCCGTCTTTGCCCCCACCGACTCCTGAATGCTCTCATTCAAAGTCTCTTCCATGCTCTCTACCTCCTCCATCAACTGTGGATGGAAGACAAAAAGGTGAGGGATAGGTGGAGAGGGGAGGGGAAGGGGAGGGGAAGTGGAGAGGCAAAGGTACTATTGTTTAAGCGGCTCTCATTCAGAGTCTCCTCCATTACCTCCACCTCCTCCATCAACTGGGGATGTAAACAGGAGGGCAGGCGTGGGGTGGGGAGGGTTGAGATGCGGTGGGGAAGGGGAGGTGGGAACATCAACTTCAAATGCCTCTCTCGTTCAAAGTCCCTTCTCTGCCCTCCACCTCTCCATCAACTGACAATGAAGACACAAGGGGGTTGGGGCGGAAGAGGGGAGAGAGAGGGGGGGGGGGGGGGGAATTGGGGAGGGCGAGGGAGGAAATATCTCTTAAACGGCTCTTATCTAAACTCTCCTCCATGCCCTCGACCTCTTTCATCAAATGGGGACGGAAAGACAAAACGGCAGGTAATGAGTCTGTTTGTGAGTCGACCCAAAAACGTCCTCCATGCCCTCCCCTCCACCAGCATCAGCTGAGGATGGAAGATCAAACGGCACGAAGGAACCCTCGTGGGCAAGGAAGATGATACTTCTCATCAAACTGCTTTGATCCAGAGAGCGTCTCGTTGCAGGCAGTTCAGTCCGTGTCTGCTGCCCCTGTTGGGAGCCCTTCGTTTGAGACGTCTGAAAGGGCGTCCTCCCAACGCCGCCCCACTCCTCCCCACCCCTCTCCACCCACCTGCTGGATGCGAGTCTTGTTGCGGGCGATCTGCGTCTGCTGCCCCGCTGTGAGGCCCCCCTGCCCCAGCTCCTTTGCCTCGATCACGTCCATCTCCCGCTGCATGTGCTGCACCTGTTGGGGGGGGCGGAGAGGGGGAGGGGGTGCACGGGGGGCAAGGGGAGCATGCAAGAACAGGCAAAGATGGTTACATGAGGCACACAGTGGTGCATTAGCTTCCTCTGCTCCTCCTGCCCCACCTCCTTGGCCTCGATCACGTCCATCTCCCGCTGCATGTGCTGTACCTGTTAGGGGGGGCGAAGGGGGCAAGGGTATCGCATGAGGGGAGAGGCAAAAGGGGGGGAGAACACAACCATGCAAGGCACACACACGAACAGCAGCACACAGGCTAATCCCCCCTCTGCAAACCTCCTTTGCCTCTATCACATCCATCTCGCGCTGCATGTGCTGCACGGGGTGAGGTGGGCAGCAGAGGGAGAGACACGAGCAGCCGTGCGGACGAGAGACAGTTACAGAATCTCAGGAAACGGGGCAATAGAGTGATGGGGGAACGTGCAGTGAGGTGTATTTTGAGGCGCCTCAAAATACACCTCACTGCATGGGGCAATGGAGTGATCGGGGAACGAGCGACCATCACACCCCCCCTTCACCCACCCTCACCTTCTCCAACCGCTTCATAATCTTCTCCTTGAGCTTCCGCTGATTGTCCGTCAACTCGCCCTTGTGTGTCTGCCACGTCACCTCCTCCTCTTCCTCCTCCTGGTGCTCGTACAGAGGGCAAAGGGGTGATGCGGCAAAGGGGCAAAGGGGTGATGCGGCAAAGGGGCAAAGGGGTGATGAAGCAGTTGGCCGATGGTTCGAGCTTCCGCTGGTTGTCTGTCAGCTCGTCCTTGTGCGTCTGCCACGTCACCTCCTCCTCTTCCTCCTGGTGCTCGTACAGGGGGCAAAAGGGTGATGGGGCAAAGGGGCAAAGGGGCGATGAAGCAGTTGGCCGATGGTTCGAGCTTCCTCTGGTTGTCTGTCAGCTCGCCCTTGTGCGTCTGCCACGTCACCTCCTCCTCCTCCTCCTCCTGTTCATCATGCAAGGGGTATTGGGGCGACAAGGCAGTGAGGCGACGGGTGCGGGACGACGGAGCAGTGGGGCAGTGGGGCAGTTGGGCAGTGGGGCAGTGGGGCAACGAGGCAGTGGGAAAACGGGGAGATAGGGCAATGGTCCACCCAGGAATCCTCCCACATGCCCCACAACATCCCTCCCACATGCCGCACAACATCCCTCCCACATGCCGCACAACATCCCTCCCACATGAAGCACAACATCCCTCGCCATCGATTTCCTAGCAATTCCAACCACTATCCCTCTCTTGCCCCTTTTGCTCACTCTCACCTCATCCTCCTCCACATCTTCCCAATGCATTTTGAGGCGCCTCAAAATACACCTCAAAAAGGCGCCTCAAAATACACCTCAAAAAGGCGCCTCAAAATACACCTCAAAAAGGCGCCTCAAAATACACCTCAAAAAGGCGCCTCAAAATACACCTCAAAAAGGCGCCTCAAAATACACCTCAAAAAGGCGCCTCAAAATACACCTCAAAAAGGCGCCTCAAAATACACCTCAAAAAGGCGCCTCAAAATACACCTCAAAAAGGCGCCTCAAAATACACCTCAAAAAGGCGCCTCAAAATACACCTCAAAAAGGCGCCTCAAAACACGCTCATCTCATCCTCCTCCACACCTTCCCAATGCCCACAACACCCCTCTTACCTCACGTACCCCATCCCATGTGACAACGCAATTTAGGGGGAATTCCTTAAAACCAGATGCAAGCAAGCCTCTCTCTGCCTCTACTTCTGAGCAAACACAGCCCAGCCACTCTCGCTCTCACCTCCTCCGCCTCTGCATCTTCCCGCATGCCCCACGACACCGCTCCCATGTGTCCCATGGGCTTAAGCTTTCTACGTTTGAGCAACCCCAGCCTAGCCACTCTCTCACTCCCCCTCACTCACCTCCTCCGCCTCTGCGTCTTCCCGCATGCCCCACGACACCCCTCCCATGTGCTACCCATGTGCCTCAGCTATCTACTTCTTAGCAACCCCGTCCCAGCAACTCTTGCTCTCTCTCCCTCTCGCTCGCTCTCACCTCCTCCGCCTCTGCGTCTTCCCGCATGCCCCACGACACCCCTCACACGTGTTGCATGAACCTAAGCAATCGACATCTGAGCAACCCCAGCCTAGCCGCTCTCTCATTCTCCCTCCGTCTCTCGCTCTCACCTCCTCCGCCTCTGCGTCTTCTCGCATGCCCCACGACACCCCTCCGCCCTCCTCCTCCCCCGCCCCCCGCCCTGCTGCCACGGCCCGCCGCTGCTCCCTCTCCGCTGCCTCCCTTGCCGCCTCTTGCGCTGCTGCCTGCCGTTTCGCTTGCCGCTCCGCACGCGACGGTCCTTCCTGTGTGGGGACGGGGGACAAGGTGATATGATATGTTGGTGTAAACACATCTCAATCGACAATCATTCTCAATCTCGCTGCTCCCTCTCCGCTGCCTCCCTCGCCACCTCCCTTGCTGCTGCCTGCCGTTTTGCTTGCCGCTCTGCACATGACGATCCTTCCTGTGTGGATAGACTATCGGGAGGGCAAGGCGACAATGAATCTGTTGTGAGGCATCTCGACACACGAGTTTACTAGCATGCGCTCTGCTGCCTCCCTCTCTGCCGCCTCCCCCACCGCCTCCCTTTCTGCTGCCTGCCCTTTTGCCCGGCGCTCCGGGCGCGACGGACCCTGGTGTGTGGATAGGTTGTTGGGGGTACTTGCGTTGCGAGTGATTTTTGAGAATTCTCAAAAATCACTCACGATGTGCGGATAGGTAGTTGGGGGTCGAGATGATAATGGATTGGTTTTGGGACGTCGCAAAAAGAATAGGATGGGGCGATAATGGATCTGCATGGGAGGGACCTTCCAGTGGGGATAGAATGTTGGATTGGGTGGGGGGGGGGAGGGGCATCTGAGCAAAAGGATGATAAATTTGGGTAGGGATATGAACGGCAGTCACTTTTGACTGACCTCACCTCAAGCCATGACTCATTTCACACCTTGCAAAGTGATTCAACTCACACGCTGACTCACCTCACACACTGACTCACCTCACACGCTGACTCACCTCACATCACACGCTGACTCACCTCACATCGCACGCTGACTCACCTCACATCACACGCTGACTCACCTCAGGCATGAGGTCCTGAGGCCCTTGGAAGAGATACAGGCGTGATGACCTGGCAGACAGGGAGGAGAGACACACACGTTGGTTGGAAGATTCATATTCATGCACACATTGCACAGTGGACATCCCAAATGCTCACATGAGAACCGAACAACCATTGCATGCATGTGAGACGAGTGAGGCTCACACACAACAGGCGAATTCCGCTCTGCTCTGGGAAAAATGTACGCTCTGGATGACGTCATCGCTCACTCACATGCCAAACCTGATGACGTCACCAACCCTTAGAGGAACAAACGTGCCTGGCTTGACCTGTACACGGGGGGGAGGGGGGGGAAGGGGAGGGAGGGGGGGGAAGGGGAGGGAGGGGGGGGAAGGGGAGGGAGGGGGGGGAAGGGGAGGGAGGGGGGGGAAGGGGAGGGAGGGGGGGGAAGGGGAGGGAGGGGGGGGAAGGGGAGGGAGGGGGGGGAAGGGGAGGGCGGGGGGGGGGGCAACGAGAGAGGAGGTAAATGGCACACAGCTGAAACAAGCACAGCACGTGCATGGGTGGATGTACAATGGATGTGTGTTGTGGCCTATGGGCGTGCATGCGGGAATTGAAGCACCATGAGGGAATATAAGCACAGTGAATATATGCAGAGTGAATATATGCAGAGTGAATATATGCAGAGTGAATGAAAGCAGAGTGAATCTAAGACACATACGCCCACACACTCACCCCACTCCACTCCACTCCACCCCAGGAGTCAACGCTACCCACTGCTTGTTGAGGGACGGCTTATGTGTGCTGTGGAAGTGCATGCGACCTCCCCTCATGCAAGGGGAATGTAACAGCACAGAGGGAACAGCAGCGTGCATGGGATGGGGCCACACGCACACCGCACCTGCTGCTTGTTGAGGAACGTCTTGTGCGTGCTGTGGAGGTCCATGAGAAACGCAGCGCTGTCCTCCCCGTACTGGATCACTGCAGGCATTGGCACAGGGAGACACAATGGCACAGGGAGACACAATGGCAGGCACGCACGCAGGCAGGAGGGTGGGCGGGCGAGCGGAGGGGCAGGCGGGAGGGCGGGTAGGCAGGCAGGCAGGCACGATGCAGCGATGAAACTCCCTCTCATTTGTCCCAACGGACAAGTGCATTCAGGCTAATGAAGAGTTTCATGCTCCTTCTCGGAGAGGTACCAAAAGAAGCACCTGGGTATCCCCTCATTCATTACCCCTGGGTAGGGTACCATACCATACCAGCATGGTAGGGGGAGGGTAGGGTACCATACCATACCCATACCATACCATACCTCATTATCCATGGGTAGGGTACCATACCATACCAGCATGGTAGGGGGAGGGTAGGGTACCATACCATACCCATACCATACCAGCATGGTAGGGGGAGGGTAGGGTACCATACCATACCAGCATGGTAGGGGGAGACTGAGGGCGGGTGCAGCACAGCACAAAGCCACAACCGTCAAACGCATCGTAACACCTCCATGTACCAGCAAGTTACCCTCATCTTACAAAAATCAGCATAATGCTAGTTTGCACAACATGTTACCACCACCTCGGTACCACCTCGGTACCACCTTGTTACCACCTGTTACCATGGCAGTACCAGCATGGTAGCGGGAGATGGAGGGGTGCTGCAGCACAAAGTCACAGCGGTCGATGCGGCCAAACATGTACGCGCTCTTGGCAGCACTGGGAGGAGGGTTTGTGGGAAGGGAAGAGCGGAGCAGCGGCGGTGAGGGGACGTGGGGTCCTGATCGCAGTGGTGAGTGAGAATGAGAGAGCACATGCAACATGCAGCCACAGCGATCGATGCGCCCAAACATGTATGCGCTCTTGGCAGCGCTGGGAGGGGAGGGAGGGAGGGGAAGAGCAGAGCAGCGGCGGTGGGGTGGGGAGACCGGGGAGCTGAACTGGCGCAGAGTGCGAAAACATGAGGCCCTCACCACCGCGGTGAACACACAGCATCAAGTCACAGCGGTCGATGCGCCCAAACATGTACGCGCTCTTGACAGAGCTGGGAGGGAGGGGGAAGAGGAGAAGGGGAGGGCAGGGCGGTGAGGGGAGAGCAGGGGCGATGAAGGACGTTAATTTTTTTATTACTGCTTGCGCTTCTCATTTCTCAGGTCATCACAATAGCCAGAATTCGCACATAATGACCACCACCACGACTCACCCATCCCCACCACTCAATCACCCATCACAACCACTCACCCGTCACCATCGCGCACCCATCCCCACCCATCACCACCAGCACTCAACCATTCCCATCCATCCCCTCACACCGCTCTCCACCACTCACACGTCCATCTCCTCGGCAACGGTGCCATCCTTCACCACCTCCACTCGGAACGGCACCCTGGGAACCGCCGCCCAATCAGGGATCGAATACGGCGCCTTGCCTCCGCTGCCGCTGCTAGTGCTGCCACTACCGCCGCTGCTGCCACTGCCCCTCCCACTGCTGCTTCTGCCACTCGCTGGCTTACTCTCACCGCCACAACTCTCACCACCGCCAGTGCCACCACCGTTAGCAGCACCCTTGCTTTCCTTCCCAGCCTTCTCACCCCCACCTTCCTCTTCTCTATTTGCTGTGGCCGCAACCACCGCTCTTCCTTCGTCACCCGTTTCCAAACTCGTATCTTCTGATCTCTTAGGTTCCAAATGTTTAGCTAAGTGCGAACTATCCGATTTGCCGACAGGCTCCCCACCTTCAGCAGGCTCCCCCCCTTCCCGGATCTCATGCTCTTTTCCCGCGCTTCCGCCAGTGCTCTCCCCCTCGGCTGTGCTTCCGCGCGGATCATCCCCTTCACTTGCGCCTTCCCTGCGGACAACCTTCGGAGTGCCCCCTTCCCTATTTAACCCCTCTCCGCTCCCCTCCGGAGTCTCCCCTTCCGCGATTCCCCCTTCTGATCTTGCTTTCCCCTTGGCCCGCGCGGGAGGAGGAGGCATCGCCACGGAAGGAGCGGGAAGCGCGGAATTCGCGGAAGAAGCGGAATTCGCGGAAGGCGGAGGCTTGGCATCGGCGGGAGCGCGAGGAGGAGGCATGGCCCCGCGGGATGGCGCAGCCTCCATGCCAGCTGGCACTGCCTGATACGTTCACCAGTACTAAAACGGTAGCCTGCGAGAGTGTTTGATCATACACACGTAGGCGCTTCACGCTGAGAATAAAGGTCCACAGCCAAGTTAGAATCTAATCTGCCGCAACGAGGAACGGCGGTAAGGAGTTATAATTTCTGCGCGCTCGACCTTGGGCAACCGACTACTAGCACTAGTCGTAGCACTACAGTGAAGCGTGGTGAAGCAAATTAGCAGTGTGGTGCCACTTATAGCGTGAATGTGTCGTGCGGCGCGACAAATCGCAATCTCCTAGCTTTCAATGGCTGTTGAAGTCGTGAGGTTCGCCCACCTTCGACGATATGAGGTAACTCAATTACCCGATCGTCGGCTGATCGCTTGCTGAAACTGCCCACTCCACTCTTCGCTGAAAGATGCCGATCAAGCATTCTCTCCACCAACAAACATCCAGCTCACTACAGTGCCTGGTGGTTTCGCCGTGCGAAACCCGATACACGTAGAAATATTCCGCTTGTCACAAGCGCGATAAAGAATGTAAGGACCAATAATCTCTAAAAACGCAAACAGAATAGACACTCAGACAACCAAGAGAACCAGATAACGTATTTGCGACCTTCAGTTTAGATGGAATTGTTAGCGTTATTAATGAATGACAGGTACAACAATAAATATAATCAGGTCTTGGTTAATAAAGTCCAAATCAGGCGGAACTAATTAAGTAGAGAATGTAATTTTCATGCCATTTTTGCAGTCCTTGCCCTTGGTACTGATCATGTAGTATGTCGAGGAAAAATCTAAAATAAAGGAGAATTTGGCCTTCCTTCTGGATTTCACGAGCACTCTCTGAACCTTCTTGACATTGCACGCGTTAAAATCTTCCACAGAACCCACCAATGCAAGGTTGTGCTTCTGGCCGATTATAGCATTCCTCGTTCTGCGGGGTTTCCATTTGAAAACTGAAGACAAGGGAGGAGATAAAATTTATGAGTTTCTGCATATGCAGAAGCTGAAACAAATGCACAACATAGTCACTCTTATAGAGTCAAGGAAGCGGAGCACCGCAAGATCGTAGCGCAGACAGGCACGCTTACCCAGCACATCTCTCGCAAACAGCTCAGGTTTTTTCCAAGTAGCGACTGCTGGCCAGCCCTTTTTCCCGCCCACCACATACGTGACAGCTTCCTGCAGCGAGAGGGTGGGGGAGGGAAGGGGGGGAAGGGGGGAGGGGGGGATGCAAGAAAATACGGGAGTTCTTGATGAATTGAACGCGGTAGGATAGTCCAGCCGTCGTCAGGCCAACCAAACCCCCCACCCCAAACCCAGCCCCGAAACCCTGAGGCGAAACGAAGTTGTTCATTCTTTTCATCAGCCCCGCCCGCTTTTGCATCGGCAAGGCAGGTCGCCATTCACCAATGCAGCTGGCTAGGCTTGCTGTGATCTGGGCTTCAGCCAGCGAGCCAGCCGGGTTTCAAGTGTGTACATCATCTACAAGACGACCCACCGCATCGAAAACAGTGAATGCATGCGGATTTCGTGACGGTAAGGAAACTGTACCCACCGCGACTGACACAGGGCGGCGGTTGTTCCAGAGAAAGCCCGAGGAACCTGCAAACGCGGACAGAGAACGCAATCGAGGGGCCAGATTAAGCCTTCGCTTCCACCCGATCGGATGGAAATTCTTCCTTTCACCAAAGTGTGTCTTTGTTCAATGATAGCAGCGATGATTCTTAGTACGCACTACCTCAGGCTTGCGGCGGCAGAACAACGACCTTGTTCACTGATCGGACTACACGAGCACCAGAACTTCTGGATTTGAAATCGATCAAGTGCTCTCACCTGTCAAGAGCGCCACCACGAGCACAAGGAGCAGCCTCATTGTGCCACGATCATAGGCTAAGAACGATGCTAGGGGTGTCCTGGAAGAACGAGAGTGAACGAGGAGAATGAAGACTCTGCGATTTTCCCTCGGGGTTTTCTACGAGAAACTTCACCCCAGCGAGCCACTTCTTCGCGACGCTACATCGTGAAGGCGCCTTCACCGTCAAGGCGCCCGGGGTGGGTCCGGACGGAAGTGGCGTTTCTTTGGGAAAATACATTGCGCAGATCCGATGAGCTGAAGCGCCGCAGTCAACCAAACTGCATCGCTCTGCACGACGCAGGGAAAGAAAGGATCGCAGTTACAGCAGTCACTGTACGGACGCGACGCCGACGCCTTCGATCGTACGGCGGGGACAAGTTGTACGACTGCACATCGCTTGCGATAGGAGATCATCGTCGAGACTCTGTCAGTCTCATGGATCGTCCTAAATTCTCACGCGGTGTGCTACTGTACAGTACATCGGACGCATCAAACCGCTACTGTACGTACAGTTGTCCTAAAGTGGTACACTTCAGTAAACTAGATCGCAGAGAGTGTGCGGCCAGGGTTGTCTTCACAAAGGCGAGTGGCAGGACGGGATGAGCCCACTATGCAAGTTCCGGTCTGGTCCGGTTCCGTTCTTGCGATCAAGCTCCTCTGGCCTTCTCTACCCCTCGAGAAGTCTGATCTTATCTTAGCCGGGATCTCAAGTATAAAAATGAGCTGGAAGTTGGTGAGGGGAGCTTGCTTGTGATTGGTCAACGAGGTGGATAGTTTGACGAGGGATGAAGCGAGGAGTGCGAACTACAGTAAATCGCAAGTTTGAGTCCGAACCAGGGAGGCACGGAATTTGGTTCGGTGACGAAGCTCCAACACCAGCAATTTCTCGTCACACAGAAACAATCTCATGTATCAGCAATGTGTTTTGCGTTTGCTCCAGGGGCAAAAACGTGAGTGTGTCGTACACTCAACTTCCAAACCAACCTGTCAATTCGCCAGCACTAACAGGGTAATGTGAGCTGCAAGTGTTTTGCAATTGAAGGCCAATTCTCGTACTTGAGATCCTGGCTTTAAAGAAAGCTTCTAACGCCCGCAGCGCGCCAAGCATCAAAGGTGTGTGACGACGGGACGATCAGACGAGCTTTCTAGAAAGGGCTCTCAACTCAATCTTTCCCACCTCGGCGTTGTGCTCTAGGGGAGGAGAGTGAGTGTGAGGAGCAGACGACGATCGAACGAGCCTTTTAGGGGCACAAGAATTGGGACCAAATCTGCAGTGGAATCCTAGCCGTTTGGAACGATTGATGGTCCAAGTGTGATGCTTGGAACATTCGGTTGATACCCCTGCGCTGTGGGGTATCTACCCTGTTCGTCAAGAACCGTGAGGGTCAAAATTCCATGGTGGTAGAACTGAACAAGATCCTACCAACAAAAAAGATCCTGGTGGAATATTTTAACGCCTGTTGAGCAAAGGAAATTCCCTGGTGGGGAAACCAAGTACCCATCGCTGCTAAACGCAACCCTAGGGCCCCAACCATTGAAACGTTATGCTCATTCGAGAAAAAACATGCGTCGTCGTGGCTCGCCAGAAAAGACATGCGTGTGGCAGTGAAATCTCTCACACCGTTTCGTTATTGGAGTTTCGTTTTCTGATCACTACGTTATACAATTGTTGTTAAAGGTTCACAATCCTTCAAATTTTGAGAACTTGGCTACCAATTCCTATTATCGAATATGCTGACTCGGGGCTTATGTTCGATGCGAAGCTTCGATGGGATATTCCAGCGCACCACGTCATCCAACGTCACCCAGACGACTCTCTGTCAACGCGTGCGATCTGGTTGTAATCCCCAGCGGGGCTGTTCGCCAGCACCATTATAGCAAAAAACGACGGGATAACGACGGGATCAGGAAGGTGGGTCTCGCCTTCCTGATCCCGTCAGTTAGAGTTCGTTAACCTCCGTCAGCCTGGTCAGCCCGTGAAAAAAGTGCCGAGCCTCACCTACCGTCCAAACCAACAAACAAAGTGGGCGTCTGGCGAACGCCCACTTTTGTCCACCAAATCTAACGCTTCGACGGCATATGGAAGCGGGGACGAAACTTCGTCCCCAGGCAAAACACCATCCCCTAGCCATGCCATCGCCATGCTGCGTTTTTCAAAGCACAGCGATGGCACAGCCGTCGCATTGCCGTTCAAACGGATCGGAGGGAAGGTGAGGATGAGGTTCCCGATGCGGTTGAGAAATTTCTCAACCGCAGGCGCAGAAGTTTCTTGAACCGCATTACGGCCAAACCTCGGAGGTGGGTTCCACCTCCGTTTCCATATGCGGTCGCGATGCCGATGCCATCTTTTTCATTTCAAAATACGAATTGCTGGCGAACAGCACCGCTGTGTCGTGTGTGGTTTCGCTAGAACTAGCTTCTTCAAAGCCACTTGTCGCGACACGGCCATTCCGCCTGTGAGCGGTTCGGTACTGCAGATCTGCCGTCGTGCTTTCCTCGTCCGCCCTGCCTTTCCGCCTACACCGTTCCGCCTGTCCCTTTCCGCCCACACCGTTCCGCCGTTCCGCCGTTCCGCCAGTCCGTTTCTGCCTACACGTGCCGTCCCTCCTCTGTGTTGCGTAGGCCTTTCGCATTCGCATCTGAATATACGTTTTGACCTCTGTGAGTTCCACTCCGCCAATCGGATCACGCCATGTGGCAGCGCCGCTCCGCCGCTATTATCAGCACACGTGTCTGCTCGCTATCTTGCATCTCTCTCCCGCGTCCGCCTTCTTCCCACCCTGCCACGTCATTCCCATCCGTGCCATTGGACGCAAACCCTCTTCTTGCCACGCAATCAAGCCACTACCACGCTGCCACGTGTACAGACGCATCTACCAGCGCCAGCTCAGCATGCGGCCCCGCTGCGCTCAGTGCCGCCCAGAGCAAGTCAAGCGGGTCAATGCCGGTCAACGTGAGCCAAGCCAGCATCAGTCCTTCCGCACTGTCACTAGCACGTGGATTCAGCGCGCTTGTGCCACGTCATCATGCGATACAGCAAATCAGCGCCATCAGCAGACCGCACATCCAAGCAACCAATAGCTTACCGCCCAAAATATCTTCCACTATTTCCGCAGCTCTCCAGTCATCCGCCTCCCCCTCCCTCTCATCCCCAGCCAATGTGATCCGCACTCTCCAAACCTCCACCGCCACGTCAGCACCCTCAGCCACGTCACCGGCAGCGAGCCCAGCCCCCACCCCAGCAGCAGCATCCAGCACCCCCACCTCATCCCCATCCGCCACGTCAGCACCCGCCACGTCAGCAGCATCAGAGGCAGGCGAGCACGCGCTAGTGGCAGGGGGAGCGGCAGCGGAGAGGGCGGTGGGGGGGTGGCTGATGGGGTGTGCGGCGTGGGTGTGGGCGCTGGTGGTGCTGGGGGGGGTGACTCGCCTCACGCGCTCAGGCCTCTCCATGACTGACTGGAAGTTCAGTGGCGAGCAGGCGCCGAGGAATGAAGAAGAGTGGGCAGCAGAGTTCGACAAGTATCAGCAGTCGCCTGAATTCAAGAGGTTAGTGTGCTGTGCTGCTGTAAATAAGATTGCATGGTATTGATGGCGCTGGTGCTGGTGCTGGTGCTGGTGCTGGTGCTGGTTGCGGGGAGTGACTCGCCTCACGCGCTCAGGCCTCTCAATGACTGACTGGAAGTTCAGTGGCGAGCAGGCGCCCGGGAGTGAGGAGGAGTGGAGCGCGGAATTTGACAAGTATAGCCAGTCGCCTGAGTTCAAAAGGTTAGTGCTGCTGTAATGGGATGATGCTGGTGTTGGGGGGTGTGACTCGCCTCACGCGCTCAGGCCTCTCAATGACTGACTGAAAGTTCAGCGGGGAACAGGCGCCTAGGAGCGAGGACGAGTGGGTGGGCGAGTTTGACAAGTACCGCAAGTCGCCCGAGTTCAATTGTAAGGGGGTGGGTGTGGGCGCTGGTGCTGCTGGTGCTGCTGCTGGTGGTGCGTGGGGGGGGGAGAGGGGGGAGTCGTTCGCCTCACGCGCTCAGGCCTCTCAATGACTGACTGGAAGTTTGGCGGCGAGCAGGCGGCCTGAAGCGAGGAGGAGTGGGCGGGCGCGTTCGACAAATGTCAGCAGTGAGCAGGCGCCCCAGTTCAAATTGTAAGGGGGGTGGTGGTGGTGGTGGTCATGGACTCATGGCTGTCCGAGTCTCTCGGATCCCTTACTCCCTTTGCTCCCTCTACTCCATCTACTGTTTCCCTTGCTCGCATTCCTGGAGAGTCAACAGCAGCATGGGTGTCGATGAGTTCAAGTTCATATACTCGATGGAGTACGCTCACCGCATGTGGGCATGGGTGTTGGGTCACTGTCCCCGTCACTGCATGTGGGGTCGATGAGTTCAAGTTCGGAGTCAACAGCAGCATGAGTGTCGATGAGTTCAAGTTCATGTATGTGATGGAGTACGCTCACCGCATGTGGAGCCGGACCAGGTGTTCGGCCTGCTCTTTGTAACCCCCCCAACCCACTCAACCCCCTTGCACTCCTGTTTTTCTAATACCCCTTCACAGAGTCAACAGCAGCATGACTGTCGACGAATTCAAGTTCATATACTGGATGGAGTATGCTCACCGCATGTGGGGGCGGGCGCTCGGGCTGCTCTTCCTCTTCCCCGCTGCTTACTTGGTCGCCCGCGGCTACATCAAGACGAAGCTCGCCGCGCGCTGCGCCGTGCTGTTTGGGCTGGGCGGGGCGCAGGGGCTGATTGGCTGGTGGATGGTGAAATCAGGGCTGGAGGTGAGATGGGGAGAAATGTAAAGAGTGGAGATGAGGAGGTAAGGTGGGGAGGTGAGGAGTTGAGGTGGGGAGAGTGGGTGGGGCGCAGGGGCTGATCGGCTGGTGGATGGTGAAATCAGGGCTGGAGGTGAGATGGGGAGAAATGTAAAGAGTGGAGATGAGGAGGTAAGGTGGGGAGGTGAGGAGTTGAGGTGGGGAGAGTGGGCGGGGCGCAGGGGCTGATTGGCTGGTGGATGGTGAAATCAGGGCTGGAGGTGAGATGGGGAGAAATGTAAAGAGTGGAGATGAGGAGGTAAGGTGGGGAGGTGAGGAGTTGAGGTGGGGAGAGTGGGCGGGGCGCAGGGGCTGATTGGCTGGTGGATGGTGAAATCAGGGCTGGAGGTGAGATGAGTGCGATGGGATGCGGCGCAATGAGATGAAGTGAGGTGAAGAGGTGTCGAGAGGAGTTTAGGTGAGGTGAGTGGGTGAGGCGATGGTGTGAGGTGGGGGGCTGATTGGCTGGTGGATGGTGAAACCTGGGATGGAGGTGAGGGCAGATGGGATGAGATGGGGCTGGGAAGGGAAATGAGGAGGAGTGTAGGTTAATAGATTGGCCGGGGCACATGGGCTCATTGACTGGTGGATGGTGAAATCGGGGCTGGAGGTGAGATGAGTGGAGATGGGGATGGTGAGATGGGGAAGGTGAGATGGGCTAAAGAGATGAGGTAGGGAGATGCAGAGTATAGATGAGGTGGCTGGGTGGGACGCAGGGGTTTGATTGGCTGTTGAATGGTGAAATCAGGGTTGGAGGTAAGATGTGAGGAGATACGGTGCGATGAGATAAGGAGGGTGTGATGAGATGAAGTGAAGCGACCAAATGGGTGGGCGAGGTGATTTGAGGAGGTTAGGTAAGGGGGTGAGGGGTGGAACAGGGTGGGACGGTAAAAATTAATCTCTCTTGCTTTCCCGCGTCCCATCCAATTCTCGACCCACCTTCTCCCCTTCACCCTCTCCCCTTCACCCTCTCCCCTTCACCCTCTCCCCTTCACCCTCTCCCCTTCACCCTCTCCCCTTCACCCTCTCCCCTTCGCCCTCTGCCCCTCGCTCTCTCTCCCGTGTTCTCTTCCCCTTCACCCACACCGTCCCCTTCTTATCCGCACCCTGCGTACCAGGAACCTGCCAATTCCACGCCGTGCCGCCTGCCAATGCACCAGCAGCTATTCCCACTTGCTCCCCTCGTCCCATACTCTCATCTCCTTCACCCCCACGCACCTCCACCACACCAGGAACTTGCAAATTCCTACGCCGTGCCCCGAGTCAACTCCTATCGCCTGCCATTGCTTTCCCATACTCTCATCTCCTCCTTCACCCCCACCCACACACCTCCACCACACCAGGAGTCTGCCAATCCCCACGCCGGCTCAGCCCCTACCGCCTGGCATCACACCCACGGCTATTCCGTCTTGCTGCCCCTACATACATCCCCTTCACCCCACACAACCCATCACCCTAACCCTCCACCACACCAGGAACCCACCAATCCCCACGCCGTGCCGCGGGTCAGCCCCTACCGCCTGGCTGCTCACCTGACGTCCGCTTTTGTCATCTTCTCAGGTGGGTCTGCATCAACTTTTGTCATATTTTTCAGGTGATTTTTTGCACTTGCCGCTGGCTCCTCCCGTCACCACGCCCTTTCAATGATTACTTAATTCCTCCCCTCCTCTTCTCCCCTCATCCCATTTAGGAAACAAAAATTCACTGTCTCTCATCACCTTCCCATTCCTCTCTCTGCAGGCATTTTCTGGACGGCGTTGAACATCCTGTTTCCCACGCCGCCCTCATCAACCCCCGCTCAGCTGCTAGCAGCAGCGAAGCTGCGCCCGCTGGTGCATCCGGTGGCCATGCTGCTCGGTGTTACTGCATTCTCCGGTGCCTTCGTCGCCGGCAATGATGCTGTGAGTGCTCATGTTTGCAGAAAGTGCTCTCTCCCTAGTCGATTGAAGAGTTAGCTGCTAGCAGCAGCGAAGCTGCGCCCGCTGGTGCACCCAGTGGCCATGCCGCTCGGCGTCACTGCATTCTCCGGTGCCTTCTCAACCGGAGAATTCGCAAAGATCTTTTCCCAGTGTGGTCTCACATGTCTCTCGTGCCTCCCCTCACATGTCTCCCGTGCCTCCCCTCACATGTCTCTCGTGCCTCCCCTCACATGTCTCTCGTGCCTCCCCTCACATGTCTCTCGTGCCTCCCCTCACATGTCTCTCGTGCCTCCCCTCACGTCTCTCGTGCCTCCCCTCACATGTCTCCCCTCCACTACTGCTGCTCCACACCTCTTCCTTCTAGGCCGTCCCCTTCCTCACCTCCCACCCAGGGTCGCGCATTCAACACGTTCCCCCTGATGGGCGACCACTGGGTGGCGCCAGAGACCTGTTGCTCCAAGTTCACAAGTACACCTTTGCTCGCGCCCGCTCCCTCCACACCCTCCAGGGCCGGGCATTTAACACGTTCCCCCTGATGGGCGACCACTGGGTGGCGCCAGAGATACTGGAGATGACTGTTGAGGTCGCTAGTAGACCTTGCTCGTGCCATCCACCCCTTCTCTTCTACCCACACCAGGGCCGTGCCTTCAACACGTTCCCCCTCATGGGCGACCACTGGGTGTCGCCAGAGGCCCTTCACAAGCAGCTTCGAGGTCACACCTTGCTCATGCCTCTCCCATGCGTGCGTCTCCTCCCCCTCCCCTTTCCCCCCCAGGGCCGCGCATTCAACACTTTTCCTTTGATGGGCGACCACTGGGTGCCGCCAGAGATACTGGAGATGACTCCGCTGCACCGCAACTTCTTTGAAAACACTGCCACCGTGCAGGTGTGTGTGTGTGTGTGTGTGTGTGTGTGTGTGTGTGCGTGCGTGCGTGCGTGCGTGCGTGCGTGCGTGCGTGCGTGCGTGCGTGCGTGCGTGCGTGCGTGCGTGGGTGGGTGGGTGGTGGGTGCGTGGGTGCGTGGGTGCGTGGGTGCGTGGGTGCGTGGGTGCGTGGGTGCGTGGGTGCGTGGGTGCGTGCGTGCGTGCGTGCGTGCGTGCGTGCGTGCGTGCGTGCGTGCGTGCGTGCGTGCGTGCGTGCGTGCGTGCGTGCGTGCGTGGGTGGATGGGTGCGTGGGTGCGTGGGTGCGTGCGTTTGGGTGCTTTTCATTTCATTGAGTCGGCTCAAAAGTTTTTCAGCGCATGTGGAGTGAATCGCTCTTTATAGAACTCCATTCGGCTTAGCCTCCTAGAGGCGCGTGCATGCTATTCACACCTGGGAGAATCTCAGGCGACTGGAAAGCCAGAACCACCTTGCCCCTCGCCTTGCCCCTCACCTTGCCCCTCACCCTTGCCCTTCACCCTTGCCCCTCACCCTTGCCCCTCACCCTTGCCCCTCACCTTGCGCCTCACCTTGCGCCTCACCTTGCCCTTCACCCTTGCCCCTCACCTCGCCCCTGACTTCCCCATCCCCTTCCCTCCAGTTCCAGCACAGGGTACTCGCTATAAGCACACTCGCTGCAGTGACAGGCATGTGGTACTCAGCGCGCAAGCTGCCTCTCCACCCGCGCTCTGCCCTCCTTCTCAACACCGCCCTTGGCATCACCGCGCTGCAGGTAGGGCTAGAGGAACCTGGGACAGGGTGTTTTGAGACGTCTCAAGACGGCGCTGCAGGTAGGGCTAGAGGAACCTGGGACAGGGTGTTTGTTTTTTCTTAGGCTTTGAGTCGAGAAGTCCTGAGAGACGTGCTGAGTTGAGCAGCAGTGCACTGGGATATTCTATCTACCCTTCTATGTGCTCCGCTCCGCTTCGTGCTGATGAAGGCCGTTGCTGGCCGAAACGCGTTCACACGCGACATCCAGGCCTAATGTGTCTGGCTTTCTGATTAGTAGAACTTTTTTACAACTTCCCTCGCCTTTCAGATTAGTAGACTAGTGCTATAGATCGCTACTCTTAGAAGGCTTGCTGCGTTTCGAACCCAACGAATTTCAGCAGTGCACTGGGATATTCTACCCTTCTATGTGCTCCGCTTTGCTGCTCAACACCATCCCCTGAATCACAGCGCTGCACGATAGGGAGAGAGGAAAGTTAGCACAGGAGTGTGTGCACTAAAATGTGCAGAATCTACTAGAGAATTCCAAAAAATGTTCTGCATCATGAGGTGTGCACTGGAGTATCATCCCCTTGGCATGCGCCACACCCTGCCGCTCAACACTGCCTTGACCTCATTGCACTTGCCTGTGTTGCTGCTGACACCCTGATCACCAACCAGCAGAGCCTTTTTTGAGTGCCTCACAAGGGGCTTGCCTGACACACTCTTGTCACACTGCCTTTTATTGCCCCTCACCTGCCGTTCTCCACCAGGTTATGCTGGGCATATCAGCGCTTCTCACATACGTGCCTGTGTCGCTGGGCTGAGCGCATCAAGCAAGGGGCTGGCTTAGAATAGAATCGTGTTTCACTCTCTCCCAATGATTTCCCCTCTTGCCGTTCCTCACCAGGTGACGCTGGGCATATCAGCGCTGCTCACATACGTGCCTGTGTCGCTGGGATCAGCACATCAAGCAGGCGCGCTCACTCTCTTTGCCACCATGCTTGCTCTCATGCACTCGCTCCGACGCCCTAATGCTGCCGCCTCTGCTACAGCTGTGCGCGCTGCTACAGCTGCTGCCTCTAAATCCACTTAACTTCTTGTGTCCTGATTTCCAGAGATTAGATTCAGTGCAGTTGCTTGGACTGTTGGGTTTCAGGGTTCTGGTATGTATGGATTGTAGGTAGATTGGATTAATAAACACATCATGCCACATTCATAGGTATACCGTATGACCTCGCTCAAACATGATAATTTTTTGGTGCAATTATCTGAGCCATTTCTGATGTCCATGCCGCTGTTCCTCCCTCAGAAGCCAAGAGAGGTGGTCTAGAGGATACCGAGGCACTACAATCTCGTTAAAATTGCTTGGATATTGCATTTATTGATAGACAGTGGAAGGAAACAGCATTACAGACCTAACAACTTATCTGTGACGAGACAGGGTGATGTGCTGTGTGGCGTGGACCCGAAGAAATAAAGAGAATTGCAGGTGGCTGTGCTGTGCTGTGCTTAAATGGACATGGTATGGTACAGGCTCTACAAATGATGCGCCAATGCCGATGGTGGCTGCACTTCACTGCTGCTCTTGCACTGCTGCTCATGCTGCTGCCTGATAGCCAGCATCCCCTCATCTCACAAGCCACTGCCAAGAAGCTCATCCCTCATCCCATGACCTAGTGCCTTGCAGCAAGCAGTCCAACAGGCAGGGTCATGTGGATGGAGTTGATGTGTCAGCAGATGGGCACATGCTTGTCAGCTCGTTGCCATTCACATCTTGCACAATGACCCACCAAACTGATCCTCCGTCACACCTGAAGGCACGGGAAAAGGGACAAGGGAACAGCAAACAGGCTTGGAATGGTGCGTGTGATAGGGACTGCTGTGAAGGATGCAGCACGGCGGGGAAAAGCACGTAAAGCAACACAGAAACGCATAGATCCACGCTGTGTGATATTATCCTCCAACACGAATGCTTTCCCATTTCCTAAGACCCAAGATCTAATGCCCGTGACCACCTTCCCCCCTCTTCATCTCTCTTTCCTTCCCCCTCTGCATCTTTCCTTCCCCCCGCTGATATTTCCTCCTTTCCCCTTCTGATATTTCTTCCCTTCCCCCTCTGATATTTCCTCCCTTTCGCCCTCTGATATTTACTCCCTTTCCCCACTGCATCTCTCCTCCCTCCTCTCTCCGCATCTTTCCTCCCATAACCTCTCCATCTCTCCTCCCTTCCCCCCGCTGATCTTTCCTCCCTTTCCGTACTCCTCTCTCCCACTCTCCCAGTCTGCACTATCCTAGTCCAGGGTAGAAGGAAGGGTCGGGATGCGGAAAGGGAGGAAAAAACCCACCCATCCCGTCCCACGCGACAAACTGACCGTGGCCGCCCCCCACCCATCCCATCCCGTGCGACGGACTGACCGTGGCCCATGGCGGCGGTGGACGAGACGCCGCCCGTGACGGTCTTCATGAGGCTGTCGTAATAGCTCGCGCCGGACCACTTCTGGTGCGCCAACGTCTCCACGCCGAACGCGCGCTCCTGCCGCTGGATGTCCTGCACGTATGCCAGCATGCCGCGCGCCGCGTAGTCGCGCGCAAACGTGTCGGTGACGAGCGCGTTCGCGTGGAACCCGGCGAGCGTGATGAATTGCCAGCAGAACCCCATGCGCGCGAGCGCGGGGATGAACTCCTGCATCTGCGCGTCGCTCATGCCGGACGCGTCCCAGTTGAACGACGGCGACAGGTTGTACGCGAGCATCAGCTGCGGGTGCGCCGCCTTCACGCCCTCCGCGAACTCGCGCGCCTGGCTGATGGTCGGCTTCGCCGTCTCCATCCACACCAGATCCGCGTGCGGCGCGAACGCGATGCCGCGCGCCACGCACGCCTTGGTGCTGCCCTGGAAGCGGTAGAAACCCTCGCGCGTGCGCGGGAGGTCCCAGTCCCAAAACAGCTCCGTCACGCCCAGCTTCGCCGCCAGCGCGCGCCCCTCCGCGTTCGACAGCGCGCCCGCCTGCGCCGCCCACTGGTCCAGTCGGCGCGCCTTCTCGGCGGCGTCCGCCAGCGGCAGCTTGCGGATGGCGTCGGCGACGGCGTCCGCGAAGAGGCGGAGCCCCGCCGCCGCCGTCCACTGGTCCTCGATGGCCTGCAGCTGCTGCCCCGTCTTGCCGGCCGCCTGCGCGTCCGCCATCACCTGCACCAGCGGCTGGTCGCGCAGGCGCGGGTTGGTGGCGCCGAGAATGAACGCGTGGTCGCGCTTGTCCACGTTGGTCATGATGAGCGTCGCCGCCTCCGCGTCCGTGCGCGCCACTAGCACCGTCTCCGTACCCATGATGTCCATCTGCAGGCGCGCCGCGACGAGGCGGTTGACGTGCTCCTGCGTGGAGACGAGCACCTTTCCCGCCATGTGCCCGCACTTCTTCGTCACGGACGCCTGGTCCTCCATGTGGATGCCCGCCGCGCCGCGCTCCACAAACATCTTAACCAGCTTCACCGTCGCGCTGATGCCGCCGAACCCTGTGTCGGCGTCCGCGATGATGGGCGCCAGGTAGTCCACGTACGGCGCGCGCGCGCGCTCCTCCTTGCTCATGCTGAAGCGCGCCTCGCGCTGCTTGCGATCGTGGAACGACTGCGCGAGGAACAGGTGCTCCACCTTGTTGGGCACCGTGTCGTACGGGTAGTCCGCCAGGTCCGGCCCGGGCTCGTTCGACGTCGCCGCCGTCGACGCGCACTGCCAGCCCGACACGTAGATGGAGTCGAGGTACTTGGCCATCTGCGCCACCTGCACCGGATCCAGCGATCCGAACGTGCGGGAACAAGTGCCGTTCGCCTGGTGCCGCTTCAGAAGCGCGTATAACTGAAGGGGGATGCCACAGGGAGAAGGGTGAGCAGACATGCTCGAAGATTGAGTGAGCCAGCGAATTCCGGCGGCGACGTAGTAAGAACGGAGCAGGAATTTGGGATCAAGGATTAGTAAAAGCGTAGTTTGCAGTACGATGACTTTCCGCGACCAGTTTTCGCGTACCTTCTTTGCCTGCGCGCCCGACGGGTACATCTTGGGGAGGCTGTCCCGAAGGCGAACGACGTCCCTGGCGGTGTAGGGCCGGCGGGTGAGAGCAAAGCGACCAGATGCCCACCACGCCTCGACCTCCGCGACTTCCGCATCGAATCGGCGCTGCTCCTCTTCCACGAACTGCGCGGGGAATTCAGGAAAAGCAAGACTTAGAGAACGAGCCGCATTCTACACGAAGGCGAGAATGCGCTGGTTACGAATTCGGCCAATAACGGGCTTCGGTTCGTACCTGATGAATGGCCGCAGGTGATGCGTCCTTGAGCGCACCGAAAGAGAAAGTTCCTGCGATTGGAGCCCAAGAAAAACGTCAGAATTACTGACTGAAGCCCCTGGTTTTAAGAAGCTACCGTTTAAATTTGTCATACCCGCCATAGTTCTGGTGCGTTGAAAAGCTCGACTGAACTCCCAAGGTCAAGCAGTAGTTGCCACAGTCACCACCAGGCTGATAGTGATGGAGAAACGGAATGTGGATCAGGCGCTGTGGCTGACGATAGTAATGGTGGTTCCTGGGAGAACTCGACGATGTTCAATGTACCTTGGGAGTTGGTGTTGAGCTGTGTGAATTATGAGGCTCGTCGACTCTCAAGGCGCTGGCTTTTACGCGTTCAGCGCGAGAGGCGTATGGGTGAGCACTCCAATCTCATCCCAAGGGAGGCAGCGGAGCGCGTTCTATTTTTGCTGTGATGTGAGCAACCCTGGTGGTCCCAGCTAGTAATTCTCTACCACGTCAGCACTCCGTCACAATCGATGTGGAATTGGTGTCGTGGGCCCGTCTGTCGGCGACCTCTTGGAATCCGCGGGCCAACCGTAGGGGGCAGTAGGTGACGTGGAGAGGTGTTCGGGTGAGCAAATTTCGTTCAGGCTGTGATGATTTCTTCCTGGAAATGGAAGAGGGTGACTCCATTTTGTTTCACTCAGTGGCTTCTTCAATACAGTACAGTACACTTTTGCAGTTCTCCGTTTGCCCGTTAGACCCCATTCGCACTTCGAATTGTGGCTGCTCGTTCCTACTCCCCAGTCCTCGCTAGCCGTGCGCCAGCGCACTGCCTGTCGCATCGCACACTCTTTAGTTGCTCGCAACACATTTCGTCAAGTCTCGTCGCGGCGTATTCAATATCGTCGGTCGTTTGAGGCATCGTGCCGGCCGCTGCAGAGCGAACGACCGTTGCGGCATCCAATCGACAAAAAAATTGCAAGGGGGTAAGCACGGGCGATCAGGGTGGTTCTTGAGCCTTAAGAGTATCTCAAGACACTCGGCGCGAAGAGGGAGTCTCTTGCCGCACCTTCTCCAGGACCGACATTTCCGTAGGACCCCCGAATCGACCTTTGAGTCGACTCAAGAGTCACCTCTTCTTTCGTGAGACGCTCCAAATAAGCAGCAGCAGATGCAGCAGCAGATGCAGCAGCGGAGGCAGCTGTACTACTTTTGGGGCGCCTCAAAAGACGCTCGAACGTTTTTTCGGCAGTACTAGGGACGTGGGTGGTGCAGCTCGTTCGCATGAGAGCTCGAGACAGCTTGAGTCGACTCAGTCACAGCAGCAGCGTGTGCAGCGAGAGGTGTCGCGGCGAGTAGCCGGTCACGTGGGTTCCGCAGTACTAGTGACGTAGGTGGTGTATCTCGTTTGCATGAGAGCTTGAAGCAGCTTGGGCAGTGAGGCGGCAGTGCGGGCAGCCATGGGAGCATCAGCCAGTAAGGCTACTACTAGCGCGGGACTGCCTCCTGTGAATGCTAACGCTATCGACTCGCGTCAAAAAATAACTCCTGCTGGCCCTGGCCCTGCGCCTGCATCTCCTGCTGCGAGACCTGATGAAGCATCAGCACCACCAGCACAATCAGCAGCAACAGCAGCAGATGTAGCAGCAGCTGCGGCAGCAGAGGCGCGGGAGCAGCGGTTGCGAGCAGCGGAGTTGGAGGCGAGGGCTAGAGTGCTGAGCAGCAAGGTGCGATGTGTGGAGTGCGGGCACCAGAGCATAGAAGAATCCAATGCTGATGTCGCTGTCTTCATGCGCAAGGTAGGTGCTCTTAAGGAGTGTGCTTATAGTGGTCCCGTAAGGTCCTAACGGCGAAACCGCGCGTGCTGAGCAGCAAGGTGCGGTGTGTGGAGTGCGGGCACCAGAGCATTGAAAAACCCAATGCTGATGTCGCTGTCTTCATGCGCAAGGTGCGTCGCTCTTTATTGAATGTGCTTAGAGAGATTCGATAGCGGGTTTCTAGCAGCGGAGGTGGTGAGTCGGTGTGACTTACGAGTCGATATGAAGATCAACCAATGCGATGTAACGTAGCGCAAAGAGAGCGTTTGAGACGTCTCAAAAACACTCTATTACCGCGTGGCTATATGCTTTGAGACGCCTTGAAGATCAACCAATGCGACGTAACATAGCGCAATGATGGGTGCATGCGTGGAGTGTGCTGCTCACGTGGAGGTGGTGGTGGTGGTGGAGTGAGGGAGGTGTGTGGTGGTGAGGGAGGTGTGTGGTGGTGAGGGAGGTGTGTGGTGGTGAGGAAGGTGTGTGGTGGGTGAGGGAGGTGTGTGGTGGTGAGGGAGGTGTGTGGTGGTGAGGGAGGTGTGTGGTGGTGAGGGAGGTGTGTGGTGGTGTGAGGTGTGTGGTGGTGAGGGAGGTGTGTGGTGGTGAGGGAGGTGTGTGGTGGTGAGGGAGGTGTGTGGTGGTGAGGGAGGTGTGTGGTGGTGAGGGAGGTGTGTGGTGGTGAGGGAGGTGTGTGGTGGTGAGGAAGGTGTGTGGTTGGTGAGGGAGGTGTGTGGTGGGTGAGGGAGGTGTGTGGTGGGTGAGGGAGGTGTGTGGTGGTGAGGGAGGTGTGTGGTGGGTGAGGGAGGTGTGTGGTGGTGAGGGAGGTGTGTGGTGGTGAGGGAGGTGTGTGTGATGATGTGCCAAATCTGGTTGGCATCTTTCCATTCCCAACCAGCAGTCGAGTAGCTTGCTTGCTTGCTTTACGATGTCAAGTGCATAAATTGCTGTCTTGCCCTTAAGAATGGTTCAGAGTGCTTGAGATCTGAGCAATGAAGCATCAGAAAGCTGAGGAGTGAAAGACGGGGAAAGAATGGGATCATGCACAAAGATGCTAGCATTTCATGCATATGCCCTTACGCACACTCACATGCGCACATGCACCTGAACAGTCATGCACCCATGCGCTGCACACACCCCATCCCATCAGATGATTCGGGACGAGCTGAGAGCGGGGCGGCAGGAGGGTGAGATACTGGAGTCACTCAAAAGCGAGTACGGCGATTCTGTCGTGTATTCTCCACCCTTCCACGGCGCCTCTGCTGCTCTCTGGCTCACACCAGTGAGTTGGGATGGTGTGCGGTGGGATGGGGTTTCAAACGGTGAAGTGCAGCAGCAGGAGGGTGAGTGAGATACTGGAGTCACTCAAAAGCGAGTACGACGATTCTGTCGTGTATTCTTCGCCCTTCCACGGCACCTCGGCTGCTCTCTGGCTCACTCCGGTGAGTTGGGATGGTGTGCGTGCGGTGAAATGTGATGTTGGTGCGGTGAAATGTGGTGTCTCATTCTCTCTCAAGGGCAGGTACTGCGTTGCTCAGTATGCAGCGATAACATGCAATGGTTCTCTTGCTGCTCAGTTTGTATGGGCTCATTTCAGTGAAATAACATCGGGTGCGGTGGGGTGCGGTGCAGTGAGGCGGGCATTCAAGACAGATCGGTGGTATGAGTAGCTGTGACCCCTGCATTACCATGTCTTCTGCTGCTGGGGGTTCAACCACAACTGTGACCAGCAGCCATGCTACATCTGCAGTCAGAAGCTGGCAATGTGTTTCAATCTGCCTCCCAACTAGGAATACGTAAAACAAGTTCTTTACCACCCATGGGCTGGCTATGCAATGTGTCATTTCACCACTGTCCCCCTTCCTCCCCCCCACCCAACCCTCTCATTGCTGTCTCCGCCAGGTGTTTGTGCTGGCAGCAGCAGCCGCATCAGCGGTGCGTCGGAGACCCATGGCAGCAGCCGCAGGCACAGCGACCACAACAGCAGCACACTCTGCTGCCCGCCATGCCCACACGATTCTCTCCCCTCCCCTCCGCTCCGCCTGACCCCTCTCATTGCTGTCTCCGCCAGGTGTTCGTGCTGGCAGCAGCAGCCGCATCAGCGGTGCGCCGCAGACCCATGGCAGCAGCTGCAGCAGCTACAGCGACCACCACAGCAGCACACTCTGCTGCCCGCCATGCCCATACCATGCCCCGCAGACCAGTGCGGTCCAAGCAGGTATGCTGTCACGTGCATGCCGTGTCTTGACTGACCATTGCTGCAGAAACCACAGCGACCACCACAGCACATGCTGCTGCGCGCCATGCGCACGCCATGCTTCGCAGAGCAGTGCGGTTTAAGCAGGTATGCTATGGTGTTCCTAGAGCGCTCATGCCGTGCCTTGACTGACCACAAGCACAGCTGCCCGCCAGGATTCCACTGGACCACTGCTCACTCTGCCCACGCAGTACCCCGCAGAGCAGTGCGGACCAAGCAGGTATGCCATTGTGTTCCTAGAGCGCTCATGAGCTGTCTTGACTGGCCGCAAGCACAGCTGCCTTGGCATCCACCACAGCACACTTCACTGCCCACTGTGCCCACACAGTACCCCGCAGAGCAGTGCGGTCCAAGCAGGTATGCGGCAGTGTTTCGAGAACACTCATGGCGTGTCTTGACTGGCCACTACCAACCCGCCACTGCTGCAACAGCAGCACACTCTGCTGCCCGCCATGCCCATGCCCATGCCCATGCCCATGCCCATGCCCATGCCCATGCCCATGCCCATGCCCATGCCCATGCCCATGCCCATGCCCATGCCCATGCCCATGCCCATGCCCATGCCCATGCCCATACCCATGCCCATGCCCATGCCCATGCCCATGCCCATGCCCATGCCATGCCCATGCGATGCCTCGCAGAGCAGTGCAGTCCAAGCATGTATGTGACAGTATTTGCCAGTGCGCAGAGCTGTCCAAGCAGGTATGTGACAGTATTTCGAGAACACTCATGTTGTGTCTTGACTGACCATGCTGCAGCTGCTAGGGCTGCCACAGCAGCACGCTCTGCTGCCTGCCATGCCCTAGCAGGCAGCAGCCTGCCCACACAATGCTTCACAGAGCAGCGCAGCCCAAACAGGTGTTGAGAGTGTGAATCATCTGCTTGGCCGCGCGGCCCAAGCAGGTGTTGAGAGTGTGTTGCCAAGCCAATCTCAAGCTCTGTCGCATGCTACCGTTTTGACTTTTGAGTCAACGAAGGGTCAACTCCAAAGCCAATTCGGTATTGCTCCCCCCAATCTCAAGCTCCGTCGCATGCTGCCGTTTTTACCACCCGACCTGTGCTGTGCTGCACCTATCGTCATCTTTTGGCTTCTAACTTGTGAGCATCTCCCTTCCCGTGTGTGCAGTCACACAGATGACACGAGCATTACACCCATCAACTTATCAACACCCAACACAAAGGCATGAACGCTGGTCCGGTTGCGGTTTCGGGGGATGGGAACAAAGGAATGCAAGTCAAGGCGCTGCCTGCGTCACAGGGCGTTTACCGGTAGTTTTTAGACTCAATAATAGGAATGCAAGCCCAGGCACTGCTTGCATGACAAGGCGCTGTAATGTAAAGTGGTTCGAGCAATCCATGCAGTTATGGCTAGTGTGCAGTGAGGCTGCTGTTGCCCCCTGCATCTCGTGAGTTGCACATGTGTGAAATGGCTGGTGGTGGTGGGACAAGAGCAGCACTAAAAAGATGCTGCGTTTCAGTATTCGTTTATTCTCATTGCAATTACATTCCCTAAAAACTCATGTTCGACCCTACAATTAGTATATCCCTTGCTTCCTGTACACGTATCAATACAATCAATAAACCCCCCATTCACGCACTCCACTCCTCCACACCCTTTCACCACCACGGCAAAACACCCACCCACCCATTAGACTCTGCCTCCCATCATAAACCATCCGGTCCCTCCGTTGACATGCCCCTTGTCTCACCACACTACTTCCATCCCCTGCCAAAGCAGCCCTGCCATCCTCCCCTCCCCCCTCCCTCTCCCTTCTCCCCCTGCTCCTTCTGAACCTTCCTGCCACTCTCTGATGCTGTCACCCGCACCACTGCAGCACCCTTCTCTCCTGCTGCTGCTGTTGCATACGACATGCCCTCCTCTCTCACGCAATGCCCCCCTTCTCTGTGTTTTTCCCCATGTGCTTCTCAGCAGCACTCAGCCCACCATGTGCTGCTGCATACACCGCCACAGCACCCTTTCCGCCTGCACCCTCCCCCGCCTGCTCCCTCCCCGCCTGCACCCTCCCCGCCTGCCCCCCCCTCCTACTGTTGATGCTGCATGGATGCTCCTTCCTCTCAGACTCCTCCCTCACGCCGTTCCCTCCTTCTCAGCCTGCTTCCCCATATGCTTCTCAACAGCACAAGCCACCACATCACCCTTTTCTCCTGCTGCTGATGCTGCATAAACCCCCTCTTTCCTGCCTTCCGCCCTCCTCCCTCACGCCATCCCCCCCTACTCCCCCTTCTCCCCCTGCTTCCCCATGTGCTCCTCAACAGCACTCAGCCCACTTTGTGCTGCTGCGCACACCACCACACCCTTCTTGCGTTCTGAGTCGACACAAACACAAACACTGCCACTCCCTCCTCCTGCTGATGCTGCATGGGTCCTTGCTCACTCCTCCCAGTCTCCTCCACAATGCCATGCCCCCTTCTACGTGTGCTTCCCCATGTGCTCCTCAACTGCACGCACCACCACATCACCCATCCGTCCTGCTGCTCATGCTGCAAGGGTGCTTGCTCACCCCTCCCAGTCTCCTCCCACACGCCATGCCCCCTTCTACGTGTGCTTCCCCATGTGCTCCTCAACCGCACTCAGCCCGCCATGTGCTGCTGCATACACCGTCACTCCCTCCTTGCCCTGCCCATCTCCAGGGACAGACACCCTGTCACCTGGAGAGAGGGGAGAGAGTGAGAATGAGAGTGAGAGTGAGAGAGAGAGGGAGCTAGGTAGAGCCAACAGTGCTCAGCCCGCCATCAGGCACCCTCCTTGCTTTGCCCATCTTCAGGCACGCTGAGCGAGAGAGGCAAGAGGAGGGGAGGTCGAGTACATGTGACATAACATGAATACTGATGTCAAATGGAACATTAAATAGTTGAAACTTACAAATTCAGGGGCAATCAAGGCGATAAGAGAAGATTCAACATGCATCACAACACACATCACATCACACATGACAAGACACATCACAACACACTTCATCCCCCATCGCCTCATCCCCCGTCGCCTCATCCCCCATCGCCTCATCCCCCATCGCCTCATCCCCCATCGCCCCATCCCCCATCGCCTCATCCCCCATCGCCTCATCCCCCATCGCCCCATCCCCCATCGCCTCATCCCCCATCGCCTCATCCCCCATCGCCCCACGCCTCACCAGTCATGTCCATTGCCGCGTGCAGCTGGGGCTTGAGACGTCTCACCCTCCTCGCTCCCCTCACACCTCACTCCCCACACCTCACTCCCCACAAATCACCCCCCAATGCGTCACCCCCATGCCTCACCAGTCATGTCCATGGCCGTGTGCAGCTGCGCTTGCAATCGATCGTGCGATGCATGCAGCTCTGCGGTCAGGGAGGGGAGAATGAGGAGGGGAGGACGGGGAGGGGGGGACAGAGAGGAAGGAAGGGTGGGGAAGGAAAGGGAGGGGAGAAATCGAGGCAAGAAATGAGACGGAGGATTCCGGAGAAGCAACTCACGTAGAAGTCTACACCCACACATGTGTGCAAGGGTACATCCATGGATAGATCCATCATCCATGCCCTGTGATTCCATGGATGGATTCATCATGCGCCCATGCACCCATGCCCTGTGATCCACACACGCATCACCCACCGCTGTGGTCTGCATGCATCATCTGCTGCAGCTGCTTCAGCTGCCCCTCGCTGCTCACTGCTGACTGCTGCATGTTTCAGCTTTGGCCGTTCACTCATGCACTCATACGTGCTCACATACACACACATCCACACACGCATCACCCACCGCTGTGGTCGGCTTGCATCATCTGCTGCAGCTGCTTCAGCTGCCCCTGACTGCCCACTGTCGCCTGCTGCTGCCGCTGCTGCCGTCGCATCGCTCGCAGCTCTGCTCTCTTCTGAAAAGGGGATGGGGGCCACACACGGGTGGGAAAAGGGCGATGGAGACAGGAGAAGATAAGAGAAAGGGAAGGGACAAAATGAATGTGCAGAAGAGGGAGAAGCTTTACACAGACATAGGGAGGTAAGAATAGAGAAAATGAGTGAGATGAAAAAGGAAATAGAGGAGTGCTGAGAATGAAGGTAGAGCAATCAGGGCAGCATGTGTTGAGGAGAAGAAGGGCAGGAGTCTGAACATACAACACGCACACGTGGGAAGTGAAGGGATTGAGCAGAAGAGGAAGGGGAAAGAACGCAGCCAGTAAAGAAAGTCACAGCACAGCTGAATCCAACGCTCTTCACCTTTGCCAGCGTGGCATTGAGCTCTGCCAGCTCAGCATCAAGAGCCGCCGCTTCAGCCGCCAGGTCATCATCCCCGCCCGCTCCAACCTCGCTGCCAGCTGGCGCGGCTGTGGCGCGTGGCAGGTGAGGTGGCAGTGAGGCAAGGTGTGCTTGTAGCGAGGGGGGCAGCGCGAAGGCAGTGGCGAGGGCGCGGGTCTTGAAGGCCTCCATGTGCTCCTCTATGCGCTGCTCCACCAGGTGGTAGGCTTCGTCCAGGTCCTGATGTGCGCATGGGGCAGGGAAACAAGAATGATGTGCTCCGTGTTGGACCGACAGTGAGTTGGTCTTGAAGGCCTCCATGTGCTCCTCTACGCGCTGCTCCACGAGGTGATATGCCTCGTCTAAGTCCTGATGCATGCATGTGAATAAGAGGGGGAAACACAAGGAACAACGCGAAGAGAAAACGGTCATTCAGTGAGTTGGCCTTGAATACCTCCATGTGCTCCTCTATACGCTCCACTAGATGACTTTTGAGTCGACTCAAAAGTCTCCTCTATACGCTCCACTAGATGGTACGGTAGGCTTCATCTAGGTCCTGAGGTGCGCATGAGGGTGAGTGTGAGTGTGAGTGAATGAGTGAAGTGAGTGAGTCAGTCAGAGAGTGAGAGAGAGTATGAGTGAGTGAATGAATGAGTGAGTGAGCCAGACAGAGAGCGAGAGAGTGAATGAGCGAGTGAGTGAGTGAGTGAGTCATTCAGTCAGAGAGTGAAAGAGTGGGTGAGTGATGACTGAATGAGTTAGTGAGTGAGTAAATCAGTTAGTCCAACCGACCATCCATCTTACCTGCTGCAGCTTGGCCTTCCCCCCTTCAGGGCACTTTTCCATGATGCAGCTGTGGTCACACACATGCCATGCCACGTCACACCACGTCATGCCACGTCACGCCATGCATGCATGCCACGTCATAACATACGATATCATGTTTTGGCATGCCATATGGGGAGATTCCATAACCAGAACATCATTCAGATGCAAAGAGAGGCACAACGGCCACCCGTTGAACAATGCAGGCACAATGTGTGAGGCGTTTTGAGACGTCTCAAAACAACACTTATATCAGAGGCATAACAGGCACCCGTTGAACAGTACAGGCACAACGGGTGAGGTGAAGACAGAAACTGCGAGAGCTCAGAGAGGGTCTGACTGACTGCTGCTGCAACGACCAAAAGAGGCAGGCAAAACAGTGGAAACAGGAAAATAAGACATACAGATTGAAACGCCAAGCGCTCGCTCGGATGCATAACCATCAGCCTAGAATTCCAAAGTCCAGTGCCCTCTCACGCACTGTAAGGCTGCTCGCCCTCCGTCCACCACTCTCACCCCCGCACTGCCGGCAGCTCTCACCTCTCACCTCTCACCTCTCACCTCTCACCTCTCACCTCCTCAGCTCCTCAATGACGTCCATCCACGTCTCGTGCACCTGGTGACCCGCAGACCTTGTCCCCGTTTCACTCCACCAACCATCCCTCTCCCCCTCACACTGCCAGCACCTCTCACCTCACCTGCGCAGCTCCTCAATGCCGTCCATCCATGTCTCGTGCACCTGGTGATCCGTGTACGATCAGGGGAGCAGGGCGGATGGCGGACCAGGGGAGACGGGGGAGCAGCGGGAATGGGTGAAAAAGGAGAACCGGGAAGCAGGGGGGAGGGGCAAGCAGGGGGTAGGGGCAAGCAGGGGGAAGGGGGAAGCAGGGGGAAGGGGGAAGCAGGGGGGAGGGGGAAGGAGGGGGAACGGGGGAGCAGGGGGAACGGGGGAGCAGGGGGGACGGAGGGGAAAAGAAGAGACGGGGAGACAAGGGTTTGACGATTGTCGCAGTCAGTTCATCCACGCGTCTCAACACTAGGTAGGTCCTCGCATTCAGGGCACCTCGGCACTCCAACCAGACTGCCTCTGCGCTTCCCTTCCCTCCTCCTGCCAAACAAGCAGATAGCGAATGTTGGTAGGAAGAGGTGAGGGGCGGTGGGGAGCGGTGGGATCGGCGGTGGGGAGTGGCGATTGGGAGACGCGGTGGGGAGTGGCGATAGGGGAGTGGCGATAGGGAGTGGCGGTGGGGAGTGGCGGTGGGGGAGTGGGGTGGAGACACGATGGTGAAACCGCACAGAACCGCGGCGACGTTACGCAGTCACGCAGGCGGCAAGGGCCGTCAGCCCACATAGGCTGCTCCCTTTTAAGGCGCATCGCGAGTCGACACTAGAGACTAAATAAATTTGATGAGGACATCTATCTCCTGGGCTGTCAGAATTCGAAGCGATGCGTCTGCTGTTTAGCGAAGGACACGTGGCGAGATGCTATAGGTAAACGAGACGACGCTGATACGTTTCGTACGGCGTTGATGACGTCATCAAGGATTGCCGACGGCGGATCGTGCAACCCCAAGGCTCGCCAGCTGTCGTCCAGCGACGTGGCCGCCATGTGCGACGCCGCCGCCATGTGCGATATGCGATTCACAGCCTCTGCGACTCGCTTACGCGAAACGGTCAGCGAGACCTGCAACGACGGATCGCGCTGCTATGGGCGGGTTTCGTGCAAGAACGGGCGGATCGCGCTGCAAGCAGGTTTCGTACTACCCCGAGTGGATCGCGCTGCTGCTGGAGGATTTCGCTACAGTACTAGGGTCATCGTTATCATACGTTACGAATTTCGACTGATGGTCTGATTTTCCATATGTTTGTTGGTGTTGAATTTTCAATAATCCTTATGAAACCCGTATAGACCCTAAGGATGTGGTGCGGAAGCCTCGGCACGCCCCGGTGCACCGGATGTTGAAGGCTCCACCAATCCGAAACACTTTGCACCGATTTGCACCACGGCTGTGGGAGTGTGCCGGTGCTTGCTAGGGCGTGACAGTGCGTGGACTAAAGCCGTGGTGATTCGTGGTACAAATCGATCTTGTTACGAATAGTAATATTTAATATTACTGTGCACTCCTCACCGCAGCAAGAAAAGCACACTGTATCGGGAATGAGCGCGAAGCGTCACACGGTTGGAATTGAATCGAAGCGACAGACGGTTACAGCACAACTGGACCGTCGGGAGCAGACGGCATCGGGCAGCTGCAGGCAGGATGGTTTTGGCGGGAACAGTTACGAAACTGTACGCGCCGCACGGTTGGGGATGTATTTGAATAAGGGAATGTACCCCTTAGAGTACATGGCTAGTTAGGTCGTTTCGTATTCCCTGTACTCTTATTTATATCGATGTATTTGCATGGTTTTATTACCTCAAAGCATTTTACATTCACTCTGCTATTGAGGTCAAGGGCCCACCAACATTACTTTCCTGCGTGCGAACCTTCCTGAGTAGATCCTAGGCCACGATCAACTTCTGATCGCAGCATGGTATGAGAGCGGCTCGGGAATCCTTCGCACTGCCACTCCCAAAAATTGCGACATTCGGAAAGTGGCGTCCGGCACACGCTCACGAGTGAAGATGGCCGGAGGATCTGGTGGTCAGACTAATCTGACGGCTGAAGCGCAACCCAACCCGGCTGCGACAAGCGAGAACACGACGACAATCGGCTCCGAAGTTCTCGCACAACTCCTTCAGCGACTCACCAGCTTGGAGCAAGGACTCCAAACATTGCGGAACGGCGACGCGGGAACATCCTCGCAACCCACACAACCGGCCCCAACTGGCCAGAACGCCATCCCGCAAACATTCTCCCTCGACACCAATGGCTCAACCCCCAAGACTCCCCGTCCCAGTGAAGAAGCAATTCTCTCAGCACAATCAAAGTTTCTCAGCATATCAAAAATAAAGACAAGTACCTGTTTTGACGGCAGAGATTTTTATACCTGGAGCTTCGAGTTGGAGCTCCTGCTGCAGAACGCCCAAATCTTCCACTACTTCGACGGGAGCTACGCGGAGCCTGCTGAGGACACCGACGACGCCAAAGCGAGGTATTACAACGAATCGCTGATGGCGTACGGGGTGCTCCTGCGGAATATGTCGCCGGCGGAGCAGCTCAACATTCGTTCGTACAAGACATCGGCTGCTCCAGCCCTCAATGCCTGGCGCCATCTGACAGGAGTATATCAACCCAAGGACTCCGTCTCTTCGAGCCGACTACTCCAGGAACTCCTGGAAACCAAGATGACCGCAGGGGAGAAGGTCAACAACTATCTTAATCGCTGTCGGAGCCTTCGCGATCAAATCGTGAAGCTGGGAAGCGCGATCAAATCGCCGACAACAATGAAGAGCGACGGCCGAGGCGCCTCTACTGCAAAATCTGCAGGAACTTCGGGCATTTGGCGGACCGATGCAAGCACCGATCTCGCCCTCGCCAGACCAATCCGAGCAACTGGTCCGGCCGACAAGACGCACGAGGCGACGTGCGTCCAGCCCAGGGGTATCAACCCCCACCCGCGCGCAACCTGAACCCAGCGGTTCAGCATCAGCAGCAGCAGCCATCATCGGCTGCACCAGTTCGCAATGTCATGAGCAACATGGCCATGACAGGCGAGTCGCGTCGTCGCCGCGTACGGTCACCTTCACCTGAGCCGTCACCACATCCCATTGGCGCATTCAACAACAACAACCCTTTCAGCCCGCGCCACGACTTCACCGACGACGACGACCAGGACTGGAATCTTCCAGTCCCGCTGCTTGAAAGTCCCCCGCACGTACCTGATATGCGGGTGGCGCCACTTGATTGGCTCTCGCGCGAGCAATTTTTGAAGTTCGACACTCCGCACATCGTCACGCCGCGACTGGCGCTGCTCGCACGTGACGACAACAAGCGCTACAACACCTGGTACCTGGACAGCTGCTGCGGCCAGCACATGGTGGGCTCCGAGCGTTACATATCCAACGCCGTCCCCACCCCTACCGTCACTTACGTCACTGTGGCGAACAACACGCGCCTACGCACAAGCGCGCAAGGCATTGTCGTGCTTAAAGCACGCGGTAGCCGTACGCACATCACACTTAATGATGTGCTGATCGTCCAGAACCTGCGCTTCAACCTCTTGTCCGCCGCACAGCTCATGGATTGCGGCGTCGACCTCAGCACGGATCGCGCGACGCGAGACATCCTGCTGCACTACGAAGCGCGCAACTTCCCCCGCAGGCAGATCGGACGAGCGCACTCCGAAAATGGAGTATACGTCATGGATTTCGACATTCCCGACTGCAGCGGCGACTCGCACGAGCTGATTGACCTCGTGCCACTGCGCTTCGAGCACATCCACCGCAGGGACTGGAAGCACCCTGACGGCAGACCGTGGGTGCCGCATCTGTCAGAATGAACGAACAGGAATGATTGAACTAACAGTGAAATCAGTACAAGTACCTAACCCTAGAATTGTGTACCCCCTATAGGCTAACCCACTGTAGCCTAAACAAACACAACATATATAATGTTTGACACACCCCCATAGGCGAAGTGGGGGAGAACTAGGGGTCACAAGACCGGTCAAGGCAAAGCAAGCTCAGGGTGGATCTCAAGGATTCCACACAAATTCCGAGCACAAGCAAGTGGTCACAAGACCAGTTCACATGCAGGTTTATAATAGAGCAAGAGGTACAATGATCACAACCTAGCAAGAGTAAACATGCAGGTATATATATAGAGATCACAGTACAAACAGAGTCAAGAAGTAAGCAAGTGAGGTCCAGTAGGCACAAGGCCTAGCAGAGTGCAAAAGCGCTGATGGTCACAAGGCTGAAGTGCCTTGGTGAACACATCAGCAGTGTTGGCCTCAGTGGCCACGTAACGCAGACAAAGCTGACCACGCTGCTGCAGCTCTCGAGCAAGGAAGTACCGCAGGGCGATGTGCTTCATTCTGTGCTCCAGTCTGTGCTCCTCACACAAGGCAATGGCAGCCTTGTTGTCGACGTACAGCACTGGAGGAGAACGAGGCCGCTCTCCCAAGTCGGTCAGCAGGTAGGTCAGCCAGCGTAGCTCCTGGGCCGCCATGGCTGTGGCGTAGATCTCAGCCTCACAACTGGAGCTGAGAACTGAAGAAGAGCGTGTAGAACGCCAAGAAACTGAGCCAGAGCCAAGGCTAAAGGTGTAACCCTGAGACGACCGCTGAGTAGCCTGGTCGTCCGCCCAAGAAGCGTCTGAGTGTCCAGTGAGAACAACTCGGTCTCGCCCTCCAAGCACTAGCCCCATGCCCGACGTACTGCACAAGTAGCGCAACACCCTCTTAGCGGCATCCATGTGCTCCTTCCTGTGACGGCCAGGAGCGACATAGCGTGCAAGGATGCTAAGAGGGTATGCAAGGTCAGGTCGAGTGCAGGTCATCAGGTACATGAGGCAGCCCACAAGCTCTGGATACGGGCCACTCGGCTCTACGGACTCATCCGAAGGCAGAGCTGAGAGCGAGTGACCGGTAGGCAGAGGAGTAGACTGAGGCGAGGAGTACGTGAAGCGGAAGCGCTGAAGGACCTGCTGCACCATGTGTGACTGAGTCAGGGTGATGGTGCGCCGTGCTTTGTCCCGGGTGATCCGCAAGCCAAGGTAGCTTGTCAATTCACCCAGGTCTGTGCACGTGTGTCTCTTCTGCAGCTCCGACTTCACGTGGGCGAGAGCCTCAGTG